AGAGACCATGGGAGTAAGTTTTTTCTGCTATACAGCTACTCAAGACTTGACGCTGATACACTTAAGTCATCAAATAGCATGAAATCTTTTCTTTACTCTTACTTCTCGGTCAGACCTCATACCAATATTGCCTTGAGTGAAGATTTATGGATACAAAAAATGGAAAGACCGATACGGCATCAACACCTTTAGTGATCTGGTTCTTGAGAAGCAGCGATCTTTGCTTCTTTATCTTTATTATATGAATAACTCGGATTACTTCACATAAGTTGTGGCCCTAAAGAGGGCCGTTGGGTTAGTTTGTTGGCACCAGCTGCAAGCAAATTACTTGCTGGAGGTGTACTTGGTGACGGCCTTGGTTCCCTCGGACACGGCGTGCTTGGCGAGTTCCCCGGGGAGGATCAGACGAACGGCGGTCTGGATTTCGCGTGAAGATATCGTCGAGCGCTTGTTGTAGTGGGCGAGCTTCGACGCCTCGACGGCGATGCGCTCGAAGACGTCGTTGACGAACGAGTTCATGATCGACATCGCCTTCGACGACACTCCGGTGTCGGGGTGCACCTGCTTGAGCACGCGGTAGATGTACACCGAGTAGCTCTCCTTGCGCCGGCTCCTCTTCTTCTTGTCTCCGCTGCGGCTCGCTTTCTGCGTCTTCGCGGCCTTCTTCGCTCCCTTCGCTGATGGCTTCAGTGGCATGACGAACGAGGTTCACTGGGTAGTCAGTGGTGGCTAGCACCTCGCTGGGCACCGCTTTTATTTGCCTTCGCTGCGCCCGACCACGCCCAAGCAATTACGCAGAGGCGGGGTCACGCGAGAGTCCTATAAATATGGCCCGCGCAACAACAGCGTTATCGTGAGTTCATCTCGCAGTTCTCAACCATCGCTATGTCTGGACGTGGAAAAGGAGGAAAAGCCAAGACCGGAGGCAAGGCCAAGTCCCGCTCATCCCGAGCTGGACTCCAGTTCCCCGTCGGTCGTCTGCACCGCATGCTCCGCAAGGGCAACTACGCCGGCAGAATCGGAGGAGGAGCCCCCGTCTACCTGGCTGCTGTGCTCGAATACCTCGCTGCTGAGGTGCTCGAGTTGGCTGGTAACGCTGCCCGCGACAACAAGAAGACCAGAATCAACCCTCGCCATCTACAGCTTGCAGTCCGCAACGACGAGGAGCTGAACAAGCTACTTTCCGGAGTCACCATCGCCCAGGGAGGAGTCTTGCCTAATATTCAGGCTGTTCTTCTGCCCAAGAAGAGTGCCGGTGACAAGGAATAAGCGCCCTGTCTGCACATAAGCGACCAATCTAACCCAACGGCCCTCTTTAGGGCCACAGATCATGAAGTTTACACTGTCATTTGCTTTGTCAATAAAGATTTATGTGTCCAGATTTTTCATCTTTTTCCGATTCACTGAGATTACATCAATTCCAGTTTTAGATGATCGTTGACGTGAGTAGTCATTTTTTTTATGCAGTCCTGTTGGCAGTATTTGCTACTTTCTTTCGTTCGAAACCACTAAAGTCATCGGTACGGCAAGTATTGTTGATGCGAAAAATAGCAATTTTTTCCATTTATGTAACGTGACATTGGAGACTGAACTAGTGGTTGTTACTATTTTTGCAATGCTTCGAGATGTGCTTGTCGGTGCAAAATAAAGTTTTTACAAAATAAACTTTGATGAACCATGACTTTGTAGTGGTTCTTCTTTCCCAAGTGCGATAAAATCGAAAACTAAACTCTTAATCTACCTCTCCATCTGCACTGATCAGGTGCAACACCACCTAGAACTTGAACTTTCTCCTTCTAAGATCTAATATAACTAATCATGCTCTCTTTAAGTTTTGTTGTTGCTGCTGATAATTAACTGAGGAAAAATTGAAGAGACTGCAAAAATCACAAAACCATAAAATATCATAGGATACAAAAATATGCAATACAAAATTGATTATAATAATTTCACGCTTATAAGGCGCACTTTTTCGAATTTTCAAGCGAGCCGCTCAACCCCGCTTCACTGTATTCCGGAAAGAAGGGGTTGCGGTGGGTATACGGTAGGAGGTCAAAATCACAAAATTCTCTGAAACTTGGTGCAGGGGGATTATTTGACATGCTGAACACGAATACGATATACATTCGTTACGGTAGCTCCTCATTCCGGGGTTATGGTGGGTATACGGTAAGGGGTCAAAATCACGATATCCGCTGAAACTTCGTGTAGGGGGTTATTTGACATGCTGATCACGATTATGATGTCTATTAGTTACGATAGTGCCTCATTCCGACGTTACGTTATGTATACATTACCAATACCATCGCTAGATCGGGATTCAGGGCTTGAAATCTCAGTCACACGTCGGAAATTTCCTCCCCCTGCTTTGCTTAGGCAAAAGCCACCGCAGGGTGTATCGCGCGCGGCGGTGGGTGTGGAAAGCAGTGAATTAGACCCTCCTACAGTATAGCCACCATAACCCCGGAATGAGGTGCTACCGTAACGAATGGATATCATATTCGTGTACAGCATGTCAAATAAACCCCCTGCACCAAGTTTCAGAGAATTTTGTGATCTTGACCTCCTACCGTATACCCACCGTAACCCCCGGGAAATGGCGCTATCGCACGGAATCGATATGATATTTGGCATCAGCGGTTCCAATAACCCCCTACACCGAGTTTGAGCGAAATCCGAGATTTTTAATTTTTGGGGTCGGTATACTGGAATAGTACCGAAATCCTTACATCGCACGATTCTCTCAAGCAATTTACAGCATGTTATGGGGTCCTTTGGTTGTAAAGTCCTTTGGCTTGTATGGGTGGTTGATTTTGGAAAAAAATCCCCCGCGCCTTATACGCGTGAAATTAGGGTAGTTTCAGCATTTTGAGCCTCGTGGTAGGCATTGAATTCCCTATCAATAAAAATTTTCTTTTTCTTAGGTACCGAAGGGCTAAGTGTTCTTGCAGAAAGTTTGCTTCAGAAATTTTGTGCCATGAAATGCCCGCAACGAGTATTCACTCTGGGGATTTCTCATATTGTAAGATCCGAGAAATATGATGTACTGTGCAGTAGTGAACATTTGCCACGTAGTGTAACTATGTCTTCAAGGAAAAAGTGCGCCTTTTTGCATTCGAATCGTAGCCAGCAAAATACATGCAATGAAATTTCGGTCTTCAGTGAGGGTGTCTGAAGTTTTGTAAAAATACGACAGATAAGGCCAGAAGATTCTTTATCACTGTTAGAAAAGGTGTTAGTGGATTTTCTAAAAATGCGTCTCTTTTGAAGAAGAACGTATAATGGAAAAAAGTTGTCGAAGAAGGGGCTTAGGCACGCTTTGATTTCACACCAGATCAATAGAAAAGGCTCCCAAATTTACACTGATTACCAGTGAGTCATACAAATTTATCTGATAAAACAAACGGAAGTTGCGGTGAGGCTGTTGTTTTTTTTTTGCCTAGAACGAATTTTAGACTAAACAGAATCGTGCAGGAGGTGCACTTTATTTGACCTATGTACTGTCCATTCCGCCTAGTGAATACGTGGAATTATGGAATGATGATTACTGAAAATGTATATCTATGTAGTCGTGGAAGAATTTAGGTCGTTACGGATAGTTGTACACCAATACAGGCCTAATGTATATATCACTTCAAAACTTTCTCGGCTAGATAGCAATCAAAGCAATCAAATACTTCTTCGTAAGCCCCCATCCCTCATGCGGATTATAACAGTACAATTAGTCATTGAGCATGAGACTGCAATCATTCGGCCAAAAATGTCACAGCACAGGCACGCCGATGTTCAAATTTAGGCGGGAAATCTGACGTCGTCAACGGCGTCCTTATCGGAGGGCAAAGGCTCAACGTTACGGCGTGCGAAGAACTGCTAACGTACGGTTTGAGGGGGAGGGAGTGTGTTGTACAAGAAACACTGGAGGATTAATGATCAAGGAACAAAATTACAAACTTGGAACGGTAATAAGCATTTAAGCTATAGAGTCAGTGATCCAAATACTTTTACTTTATTCTTCTACACAGCCATCGTACCCTAGATTTTCAATTTCGCGAGAGAGCTGTTTCTATAAGAACTACTGAAAAATGCGTGAGTCTCAAGTTTTGATAAATAGTCATTGTAGTTTTTGAAGGTTGTTTGAAATTTTCGTGAAACTACATAAGATCTTGCTTACAATTAGATTCTTCTTCTGTAATCTCAACCCTTTCTATAACGTAGAATGTGCAGAAAATACAAGAAATGTGCTTGGTTGCTTATAATTTTCATATGCATTCGCTTGAAATATCTTCAAAAAAAAAACATGTTTCTTATTCTGTCCGTACTTATACTGAACTTATGGACGGATAGTGGTGTTTTCTGTAATCAACTTCACTGCAATTAATACTCAGTGAAGCTTCCTTACAAATTTTAAACAAAAAAGAGACTTTGAGTTCTTCGTCTGTTTTCTCAAAATCTAGTTAAGGAAAACAATACTTTCAAGAACGATACGTTTTTTTGTGCACCGGCACATATTCGACCTGCTTATGCCCCAGAAAGGACAAAACAACACAACAAACCTTTTACGTTTACCTACTCTTCTTTACGCCTCGTTTATTCTTATATAAAACGGAATAACTATGAACAAAAAAAGCTATTGCGAGATCTTTTCTCTATTCTTGAAGTGTTTGAAGCATTGCAATCTATTGAACAGGTATTGCTACGACATTCTGAGCATGGAATGATGACTGTTGGTTTCGGGTGTCTAGAACAACTTGAATTTTATGAAAAGTATTCATAATTCAGCTAATCGAATCTTCAAAAGTCTCGAAGTGCATTTATGATGCATTTCTTCAGTAATAGTTTGCACGCCAGAAATTCCAACCTTGTGAGTGGTCACTCGGCTCTCCCCGCTGTTTGTCGCAAACAGGTAGGGGCAGTGGGCGGGGCATACATCTGTCGACCCCGCGAGAGAGAATATAAGCGGGCATCAGCCAGCACAGGGCAGTTCGCTCAGGACAATCGCAATGGCTCGTACCAAGCAGACCGCTCGCAAATCGACAGGAGGAAAGGCTCCCCGCAAGCAGCTGGCCACCAAGGCCGCTCGCAAGTCGGCCCCGGCCACCGGAGGAGTGAAGAAGCCCCACCGCTACCGCCCGGGAACCGTCGCCCTGCGTGAGATCCGTCGCTACCAGAAGTCGACCGAGCTGCTGATCCGCAAGCTGCCCTTCCAGCGTCTGGTCCGCGAGATCGCCCAGGACTTCAAGACCGACCTGCGCTTCCAGTCGTCGGCTGTGATGGCCCTTCAGGAGGCCTCAGAGGCCTACCTTGTCGGTCTCTTCGAGGACACCAACCTCTGCGCCATCCACGCCAAGCGCGTCACCATCATGCCCAAGGACATCCAGCTCGCTCGCCGAATCCGCGGAGAACGCGCATAAGTGCCAGACCTGTGCTGATCAAATCTAACCCAACGGCCCTCTTTAGGGCCACAACTTATTAAGAGTGCATACTTGTGCCTATTTATTGTCGTGTAAATAAAATTTATGGAGACTTTTGAAGATAATTGTATAGCTATTTATTAAGAGAAAAGGTGAAGTGATCAATGTGGTAACTACAAATGAATATGAACTTGCAAGCGCTGAAAAGAATAATCAAGTTCAGAATCAGTGATGGGTTGAGTATTGTAGAGGGTGACTCATTGCGGCACACCTTTTCTGAACTTGCGCTTAGGATTCGATTTGATCTACATCTGACTAATACCTTTGTATGGTGTTAGACCTGTAGAATACCACACATTGGAACGCTGGACGCGATTAGGAATATAAAGGGAGTGAGTTACTAAAATTAATTCTTTGGTTTGAATGACGATAGTATTTTTCGAACTAGGGTATCTTAACAATAACAAGTTTTAGAGATAATAGTTTTTGAGAAATGATTTATCATAAGAGGTTTTTTCGCGCATCCACACAGGCTTTCTAAAAATGTATCGAACGTTTGATCTTGGTAGCTCTTTTTTGTGAAGAGGTTTCGCAGCCACTTGAACATTATGTTGTAGAGTTGGCTTCAACCTCGGTTTACAGGTGATGGATTTTTTGAGGAGGATCACCGATCGATCTTTGTTAGTGTAGGGTTACCGAAGGAAGGAGGGTTCTTAGCTATGGAAAGTCCAGTCTTGCCTCAAAAAGAAAAGTAAGCGATTTGAAAACTTTTACACCAGGTAAAAGATGATCGCTGATTTTGATTCAGAAGATTACACTTCGCCGCATTGCTTCCCTTCATAAGTCGTGAAGAGTATATCGTAACAATTGTCTTCTCAATGCCCCTTGAAAATGCGATGGCGACATTTGAAAAACCTTGAAAGTGTTCAAAGTCAAGCATAATAGTGAAATCAGCGTACGTAGAAACTCTGCCGCACAACTTTGCAGATTTGAAATTCACAATGGCAGTATGCTAGAAGCTCCTCGTAATCCTCCAGTTGTGAAGAGGAGCGGTGATTAGTTTCTTACCATGAGGCCAACTAATAATGTTATCTGATTGGCCACAAAAGCATTTCCAAAGTTTCAACAAAGATCAAATGTCCGATACATTTCTGGACACCTTGTAGTAGTTGTTTGAAGTTTCGAAGACTGCGCTTTCACTGAGGTGAACAGATGCAGTCAAATGAGTGCAAAAATTGCACATTGCAAAAAACAACCGTCGAATCAGTCTTATCTTTGCCACAATTGACCATACAAAAGAATTTTTATTCTGTATCCGAACATGTTTTCAGTGGTACTTGTGGCCCTAAAGAGGGCCGTTGGGTTAGATTAGTTTGAATGTCCTCAGAGAGCTTCTTATCCTCCGAAGCCGTAGAGGGTGCGTCCCTGGCGCTTGAGGGCGTAGACAACGTCCATGGCGGTGACGGTCTTGCGCTTGGCGTGCTCGCAGTAGGTGACGGCGTCTCGGATGACGTTCTCAAGGAACACCTTCAGCACTCCGCGGGTCTCCTCGTAGATCAGTCCGGAGATTCGCTTCACTCCTCCTCGACGGGCCAGACGACGGATAGCCGGCTTGGTGATGCCTTGGATGTTGTCCCGCAGCACCTTACGATGGCGCTTCGCTCCTCCCTTGCCGAGTCCTTTGCCTCCTTTTCCACGACCAGACATTGCGACGATTGCAGCTCACGAATGAGATGCAGACCGCCGTTTGCTGCGGTATTTATGCGCCGCGCTAGGGTCTCCCCGCTGCGCCCCCTGCGATTACCACCTGCCCGTCTACCAACGAGTCTCCGGTGTAGTTACACTGACTATGGCATAGGAAAGAAGAGTTTCATGAGAGTTACGAGGTTCATGGATGCTACTGAGCAGAATGGCTATGTGACAAAATAGAGGAACTTCACAAAATCAAATGCATTCAGTGCCACCTACTCGAAAAGCACATCCATTTCATCTCCTGTTAGTTTGAAGGACTCCAAATCTCTTAAGCGCGGCTACCATGGGATGGGCCCACATCATGTCCCCCTACATTGAACTGAAAAATTATTATTACGTTGGCTGGAAAAATTTCGTTACGTGGATATTACGACATGCATAAGGATATCCGGATAATTCATGTAGCCTTATCAAGTTTGGATCTTTTCCAAATGTACAGCATTGGGCAACTATCAGATGCAGACGAATAGAAACTTTTTCGAATACATATAAAGCATATCAATAGCATATCATACATATCAATATACATAGCCATGAAAAATCAGTTGGCGTTTTAAACTTCATTTTTTGGTGTTCGAATGCAATACAAATCACTGGTACACGGATAAAACTATCCTGACTAACTAATAAACAGCAGTACTTGCTATGCTCAGCAGTTGGATATTTTCTCAATCCAAATGAACATTTACCTCATATTTGCACGCCAAAGTGGTTTTCAGACATACATATACTACTTCTCTTTGCTCCCAATCTTGAACACGTGGTCTCAACAAATCATCAAATCTAGAGATTACAATTTTCACATTTGATGATCAAACCCAACCATAGCATTCACTAGAGTTACAATATTTTTTTGAGACTTTTGGCTAAGTATTACAGTTTTTATTCTTTCCAAAGCATATTTTGTGAAAGTAACAAACAGTCATAGAATTTGTTTTCAGGCTACACTTTTTTGAGAGTGATCGAAATTATTTTGTTCGCTAATAAGGCTTGATCAAAGCTGATAACAAAAACTTTTTCCAATGCACATATTTTGAAGGAGCTTTATCTGGAACCAGCTTCTTATTGCTAGTATAGATCTCTTGAACCAAAATATAAAAAGAAGGAAAGCTACCGCATCAGTTAATTTACTACTGAAAATGCTCCAGTCTTAGCCCTTCACTCATTTCTTCAGTCTCATCTTCTGTGGGGCATCTCTTTCACGCGTTTTATGAGTTGAAAATGAATTCCGAGCCTTTTTCTGATCATGTCTGGGAGTAATCAGCTAACTTCACTCAGTTTTTCCTCTCACCTTGAGTTAGTAGTGAAAAGTCAAACTCATTCCTTTTCACAATTTTCAGAAGCATACACAGTAAAGATCCTGAATTTTTTTGATACTGTACAAGAGCTACGTATTACCTCATCTGAAATATGCATCTCCTGTATGGAGCCCTTTCCTCAAAAAAGCATTGTAAAATTGCAAAGAATACAAAAGACTCTCACTGAATCCTTTTTTACAGATGCTTTTCAGATTCAGGATATCTGCAGTTTTTACCTTCGTGCCACAATCGTCTCAAACGTTTGAATCTGTAAAGCTTGAAATACGACGGATTGGAAGCAGCGCTTTGTTTTCGAATCTTGTGATCAGAAACAAAACTTAGAGCTAGTAATTATGGGTTTTCAAACCTTGCGGTCATAGAACAGGTTTTATTTCTATTATCCCAAATTTGGCAATAAAAGTTTTTTGAAAACTTTCAACTCTTTTATGTTCCGTACAGCTAGATGGATTTCCGATAGACTTGATACAAAGTGAAAATTCTCATGTTTTTCAAAAAATAGAACTAGTAAATGTTCTTGACATTCTGAAAATACCGGATTTTTAGGTCTCATCATGTGCTTTTGCTGTGGTCGTCTACGCATTAATGTGAGTAATTTCTTACTAACCACTGCTAGGCTTGTTTTTGTTATTTTGCTTTTACTATCTCTTGATCTGTCATGCTATTCTTTCTCTTCTGTTTTCAGTCCTGTGTATTGGCGCACCTAGAGTGCATCAAATAAATAAATAAACAAAAACATAAACCGATGCTCACCTGACTCATAGTTCACAATCACAGTCTATCAAGGTGTCCGGACCTTAATTCATAATCAAGGGACACTTCACTTTCTTGTGAGAGACCTATCCCAAAGATGACAATATGTCACTCAACATCGTTCTTTCTCATCAATCTCAACACTTGACATAAGTCATTCTATCAATGCCTGCGGAAAAGTATCGTAGATTGTCATGGAGTGTGACAAAATCTGTTTGCACTTCGGCAATAATCTGTATTGTCGTCATTCAAATTCTGGCGCCAAATTGTATGTATAACGTAGCAAATGAGCTGTTATCGCCGGGAAAGGTCAACTGAGCAAACAAAGAACAATGCGATTTTCATGACTAGCATTTAGTGATGGGCCTGTACACGAGTTATTTACTGACACAGGGTAATTTGAACCCGCACAGTGCATAAAACAACATACATACAAGATGGCACAACCTCAACCTTCAGCTCAGTCACTCCCATTGTCTGATTGTTATCATAAGTAAGCAGAAAAACCATTCAAATAGAGATCGCGCGCGGTCGTGTCACGATTTTTCGAATGACGCATAGATAGTGAGAGCTACATTGGGAGGAATAATCATGCTCAAAAATGCGTGCATTTTCACAGTGTGTAAATCGAATAAAACGGGAAAATATTCACAAGATCCATGTTTTCTTAAATGAAAATGTGATTTCTAACATATTACTTTCTGTCAAAATTTTCAGAGCTAGAGTAGTTGAATACATATCGACGAATTCAGCGGTTTATGGCGCAGTTTCAGAGTTCTTCCATTACCAACAGTTTTAAAGCCGAAAGTAAACAGTTCTCTAAGCTGGAAACCCTTCATATAAACGTCTTTTATTTCATCGACGAATTGCCGGTGTGTGCTGGAGGATTTTTATTTAACTGTGGAAGTATCGAAGAAGTCTACTGCTCTATGGTAGTTCATCGCTTGCCAGAAAGAAAGAAAGCAGAAAGCACCGCCACATACAAATGACATGGCGGTAATGCTTTTCTCTTTGTGTGTCATTCCGAAAGGATATAATAACAAGTATTCTGCTTCCTATTTATTGCGTAACCCGCAACAGGCGCGGAGGACCAAGCAGATTGATGAACAGATGGTTCAGCAGCAGGTCATTGCTAATGGCCCTCGATACACGATATGAGGTAGGAGATGACATACAATGACGTTTCTTTACTAATAAGCCAAAATCGTCGCTTATGAATACCGTAAGAATAAGTGGTAAAGTCCAGGGTAATGGAAGGATAGGGAATTCTCGCGATTCAATTTTTATAACAAAATTGCTGGTTCTATGTGTCAAGCGTAATTTCTCTGAGCATTTGCGGTACGTCTGTGTTACATGGACCTAAAAATATGCTGCAATGAAATACTTTGAATAAAAGAATTTTCATTGAATACTGATTCTTCGCGTTTAGCATGTGGTCCTTTCAGTATTTTCAGCGCCAAACAACCCTTTTATGACAACAAAGAAATCGATAAAGATTTTGCACAAGTAAGGAATTGCAACTCAATTTTCGGTAAAGAATATCCTTCGTAGCCATAGAACTAACTATAGAAGTGCAACACGAGTATACCTAGACCCGTTCTGAAGAACTAACACTACAGAACTGAAACATCCGAATGAAAGTTGTGTTTCAAATGGTCGCAGCTAAAAAAACTGGCACACAAACACCTAACATCATTTTCTCATGCTATTCCTACTCTGTATCGTAATTTTTCTGCAAGGGAGAATACATACTGCTCACCACATTGGTACTGCCGAAAGCCCCGCAACTTGCGTCACCATCTGTTATCACATTCCAAAGAGTCGCAAATACAATCCCGCCAAAAGAATACTCAATCTAGTTCAGATAATCGCTTCCCCAGGTAGTATTGTCCACCCAGTCTTTTGTAGCGCCAGAACTTGAATACTAACATCTCTGTAAACAAGCTAGATACATAATCGCCATTACTGAGCACCGGTCATGTGAACTATCAAGTGGTTTTTCTCATATATCAAGGCAGAAGAAAAACCAGAGAGTAGAACAAAATCACTATTGCGACTAACGCTGCATGTTACACTCGAATAGCGCTAGTTTCCACGTGCAGCTAAATTACAAAAAGTAACACAATTTCTCTGGTATCTTGACTTTCGATTCTCGACTTCTCTAATCGCTGGGTTACTTGTCTCTGTTTACGAAAAACTCACTATTGCTCTGAAGGATTGCGAAAGTACTCAGGTTATGAGATGAAAACGATATAGATGTAAATTAGATATGTGATACACATAGCTTGGCCTTGCTTTTTGAAAATGAAAAAGTACTTTCCAAATGGAAAAGGAGATTTCGTGTCATAAATACGACTTCGCTCAATAGATGATACCTTGACTTTGAGCTTGGAATTGAAAAGCACACTCATTTTGGAAGCCGTTGTTCCAAGAAAAGTTGCCAGGACGCAGAGCCCGCCATCAAACGAATGTGTTCAAGGTTGAAAAAATTCGTTTGATGGCGGGACGTAAAGATGACTCTGATTTTTTCACATATAAACTTACTTTGGTCAAACTAGATCCGTGTGAGCTTTCAAATCGTACTATGAATTCGCATACAACTGGCACTGCTTTATTATTGTAATCTACGAGTAATCTCGAAAATGTGGCCCTAAAGAGGGCCGTTGGGTTAGATTGAGATGTGCACCAGCTGCAAGCGATTTACTTGCTGGAGGTGTACTTGGTGACGGCTTTGGTTCCCTCGGACACGGCGTGCTTGGCGAGTTCTCCAGGGAGGATCAGACGGACGGCGGTCTGGATTTCGCGGGACGAGATCGTGGAGCGCTTGTTGTAGTGGGCGAGCTTCGACGCCTCGACGGCGATGCGCTCGAAGACGTCGTTGACGAACGAGTTCATGATCGACATCGCCTTCGACGACACTCCGGTGTCGGGGTGCACCTGCTTGAGCACGCGGTAGATGTACACCGAGTAGCTCTCCTTGCGCCGGCTCCTCTTCTTCTTGTCTCCGCTGCGGCTTGCCTTCTGCGTCTTCGCGGCCTTCTTCGCTCCCTTCGCTGATGGCTTCGGTGGCATGACGAACGAGGTTCACTGGGTAGTCAGTGGTGACTAGCACCTCGCTGGGCACCCCTTTTATCTGCACTCGCTGCGCTTGACCACGCCCACGCAATTACGCAGGGGCGGGATCACGCGAGAACCCTATAAATATGGCCGAGGCAGCCACAGTAGTATCGTGAGTGTTCGTCTCGCAGTTCTCAACCATTGCTATGTCTGGACGTGGAAAAGGAGGAAAAGCCAAGACCGGAGGCAAGGCCAAGTCCCGCTCATCCCGAGCAGGACTTCAGTTCCCTGTCGGTCGCCTGCACCGCATGCTCCGCAAGGGAAACTACGCTGGAAGAATTGGAGGAGGGGCCCCCGTCTACCTGGCTGCTGTGCTCGAATACCTCGCTGCTGAGGTACTCGAGTTGGCCGGGAACGCTGCTCGTGACAACAAGAAGACCAGGATCAACCCTCGCCATCTCCAACTAGCTGTCCGCAACGACGAGGAGCTGAACAAGCTGCTCTCCGGTGTAACCATCGCCCAAGGAGGAGTCCTGCCCAATATCCAGGCTGTTCTTCTGCCTAAGAAGAGTGCCGGTGACAAGGAATAAGGGTCATGCCTGCACGCAAGCGACCAATCTAACCCAACGGCCCTCTTTAGGGCCACAAATGATGTTTAATACTGTCTTTGTTATAAATGTTTTGTTACGATCCAAAGTGTCAAGATCTTGAAGTTTTTTGTTCGTGAGTTCGACCTGATTGTGACCGGAGAAGAAAACGAACATGACAAACCAAAAGCTGAGATAAGACTCTTTCGAATTCGTTACCTCAAGCTGGAAGCTTAGAAATTATTTGTCTACGTTTGTTAGATTTCTTTTGTTTCTTATGAAAACAAGGAAGGTGTGAGCACTATCGAATTGCACCTTATGAGCTTTTGAGACATTTTTGGAATTGCGTTACCTCTCCAGATTCTAGCTAAAAAATGACCTTTTCTCGTGGCTGAAAAATTTGGAAAATTTCACATTGAATCCTTAGCCAGTAGACTGACAAGGGAAGTTCGCTCAGTCGAAGTGGCGATTCGGAAGATGATCTATAATAATGAATAGAGCCTAAAACGCTGATCTTAGATATACCTTCTATATCTGCGATGCATTGTTCTGAAAAAAGATATGAGCTTTTCTAATGCCAAATTTTGTGCTCTACACGAAAGTAGGTAGGCTTAAAAGCATCTAGCAAGCATTGTAGGTCTAATTTGATTTCATCTGAATGTTTTCGAGCATTTTTCGACCATGTTGTTGAATCACAGGTCGTCATTTCCCTTCTAGAACACACTTCCATTATACATACAAAAAAGCCTATGACTCCCTCTAGAAAATCGCGTCGCAAATATTGAAGGTATATTTAAGAACAGCGTTTATTGTTCTATGCATTGGTATTAATATTCATCACCTTCCGAAATGTCACCTTCGACCCAGCGAACTTCCCTTGTTAGCCTCAGTAATTCATTACTTGGGTTTTTTGCAGTTTTTTCCTGGTGCAATATGACCGACTCAAAATACCTCATTGAATTTCGATTGGTTTGAATGGAAGAGATTTTGTTTTTCAGAACAAATTCAGAAAAAGTAGTCTAAAGTCTTTCTTCAAGTCAGTCTTGAAAAGCATTTCTATTCAAATTCATTATTTATTATAAAAAGCTAGAAAACGGCAAATGGCAGAAAACAATGGGGTGACCTTTTATACAGGATGCCTAGAAAATGGCCTATTATTTGATTGATTAACTCTCTTACCATGAAGTCTTTCGAAAAAGTTTTAGGTACAATTTTGTAGAGCTGGCTTCGACTTAAATTTACAGTGTATACTCGTTCGTACTGTAATTCTAATTGAATCCAGCTCTCAAATTCTGGCACCTTTGTTGGGACAAACCGAGTTCCCATTACCAAGTAAACTCTCATTTAAACAAGAAGAACTATCATAAAGTGGCAAAGTGGAAGTGATTGTGAGTTGGATCTAGTGGTGGTTCATGATGAATGTGATAGCGATGGTCTTACAAGCCATTGCCCTTCCTATCTGCAGAAGGCTCTTAGGAGGAAGGTTATGTACGTTTTCAAATAACTGCGGCTGGATTGTCCTAGCCTACTCAACATCAGAAAAAAGGGTCAGCATCTCCTTAAAGGCAGTGTCCGGGCAAAAAGTCAATCTTGAGATTTTGTGCTTACCCGGACCTATTCGCTATGCTGAATAAACCACACTGGAGAGCGCGAAAGCGGCAAAAAGGGGCAGTAACGCAAGGGGGAAAACGCACGTGGGCGAGTTCTTCCCCATTGTGGACGCTCACAGCTTCCGGAGCGATCTTCTCGGTTCCATGTCCAATTCACGCCTTCGCATTTGGCCGGTGGTGATATTAGGGGGCTTAGTAGAATCGAGAAGATCCTTCTGGAAGATGGGAGCGTAACACAGTGGAGAAGACTCCGCCCACCCGCTGATTCCCTTCCCGCGTTAGAGACCTTTTTCGCCTTTTCGCGCTCACCAGTGTGACTTTTCGAATTCACCACAGCGAATACGCCCACCAAAGCAAAAAATCTTTATATCGACTTTTTGCCCGGACACCGCCTGCGAAGGCAGTGGCTCGCAAAAATTGCAATTGCGAGCTTTCCATCCCTCCTTAGCCTTCTGGATGCGCTGGGTCTAAAACTGTGCGTTGTTCAAAATGCTTTTAATGCGTTTTCCGGTCTCACAGGTCGCTGGAGGGAATGGGCGAGCGATCGTCAACTGAGTCGCGATTGGCTGCTTGAGCCAATCAGCCAATTGCCGCCAGAATGGGTGGAGTTACATCCTCCTGCAGTCAGTCGCTCACCCAACCCCCTCAGCAATCTCTAAGGGCTGGAAAACGCCAAAAAACGACTTGACTTTTTTTTGACTTTGAACATAGTCACGGACCCAGCGGATCCAGAAGGCCATGTAGGTGTGAAAAGCTCACACTCGCAATTTTCCCGAGCCACTGCCTTGAAGTTCAAGGTATTATCGTCCTTGCGATACAAGGTATCTGGGTAAGCTGTCATGGCACTCACAAGTGATCACAAACCGTTGTCCTCAAGGAAACTGCGTTGAGACTGAACACTGTAATCGCATTAGGGCCAATGCTTAATCTGACGGGTAAACAGATTCCTTGATCGCCTCCTGTTCTCATGTCGGTAAAGATCGTTTATTCATTTGTATGGCGTTCATACCTATACCTAAGGAGTTCTACTAAAGCACAAAGCAATAAGAGCTAAAATAGGAACAAAGAAAAATACTAGTTTCTTCCTCTATACCACTTCCCCAAATTTTTGATATCTATCTCTGAGCGTCATAAATGCATTCATAGCTATACTTAAGGAGTTCTTGGGTAAGGCTGGGTTCATACTGATCCACAAGTTCCGGAACAGTTCCAGCACAGCGCACAATTCGAGACTGTTCCGAAACTTACTGATCAGTATGAACTCAGCCTAATTTGACAACACCTTGAATTTGCACTGGCAACACTTCTAGGAGTGCACAAAACCCTTCCATGTACTTCGTGCAACCAACTTTGCGTCGCTTTCCCGTCGTGCAGATTTTCCAGTAGTAATAACAGCACCACCATCACTAACCTGCTCTACTGCGGATTGCAAAAGTGGGGCAAACACACAAAAAGCTGTTGGAATGAGGGAGGCTGTAGCCGCGAGTGCTAAAAGCCTCTTTGCATCATCTTACATCATCCCATGTTTCATCGTCGAATCACATTGCACAACTATGCGACTATTACCACAACTCTGCACTTCCTATTCACTCCTGCATTTGCAAAAAATCGTCTTTTTCTTTTCAGAAGACTAACTGTCCACCCAGCAAACCAACATCAGTAATAACAATAGCAACAACGGAAATAAGTTCGAGTGACGCTGTCCGAGTATGACGTCACTCGCGGTAATCGTGCGCTCCAGCGCGACCCTCTGCGCAAGCGATGAAAAATTGCATCAAGCTTTTCTGCCACATCAGAACTTTTTCTATAAAAAGCGTTTTTTTCTGATTCTGGCAAACAACTGTGTTCAATAACGCATTCACGCAGCGCTACAAACCTTGCACTTCCTTGTCAAAAGTGACATTGTTCATAAATCGCAGTTCAAGTTCATTCTTTTGCCAGTCATTGTCTATATTTTGTTCGTTTCAGATCTGCATCAGAATTGTCTCAACATGGGCGATAATACAGCTTCTCCGCAACTATCGGATGAGGTTGAGGCTAGAAAAGCGTTAATACTTAGGAATCTGCAGGTGATCCAAGTTTTTTGTCCATGGTTGTGTGAACGAAATCTGATTTCCAGGAAGCTCTAGGTGTTGAGAAGCTTGAGAAACAGCTAGCTACGCCCGGCAAACTTGTCCACGTTTACTGGGGTACTGCCACGACAGGACGGCCTCATGTTGGGTATTTTGTCCCTATGAGGAAAATTGCTGACTTTCTGAAAGCTGGCTTGAAAGTAGGTTCTCCTACTCGCAAAAATATCTTTTATATGGAATATGGGATTAGGGTTTTGAGCGCTCCGCAAGTGTGAAATCAGTATGCGATTAGTGACTTTACCCATAAGTCAATCCGTATGAGATTGGTGCGTTCAGCATTATTAGTACAAGTCCTCAAAATCTATAACTTCTTATCAAACTCCCAAATTGCGCATTTGGTGCCTTTTTCTTGTTCCTGGTAAGGTAATTGAGTCAGGAATCTTTTTCCTCAAAAGTACTGGAAACTAGTGCTGTACTGCTGTCACCTTGAATAGGCCAAAAGTACGATGAATCACCAGCACCTACAAAACAATCCACTGTAAATTTCCAAGGCGTACTTTTTCCGAACGCTCATATCATGCATTCTTATCGTTCCAGCTTTTGGCACTTTCTCAAAATAGATAAATTACCTTGCAGGTAACTGTTCTATTTGCGGATCTACACGCATTCTTGGACAATATGAAAAGCACTTGGGAGCTGCTAGAAAATCGGGTAATTTACTACGAATGTGTGATCAGAGCACTGCTACTAGCCTTAGATGTTCCCATTGGTCAACTACATTTCGTAAGGGGAACTAGCTATCAGCTTTCCAAGTGAGCTTTTCAGTAACGCTCTGTGTGATTATTTTACGGTTCATCTTTCCAGAGAATATACGTTTGATGTGTTGCGGTTATGTGGACAGGTTTCACAGCGCGACGCCCTTAGGGCTGGAGCTGAAGTTGTCAAGCAGGTAGGAGGAATATTCTCGAGTCTCTTCGTAATTACTCAGCGGCTGTTTAGGTTGAATCGCCTCTCCTTTCTGGTTTACTTTACCCACTTCTTCAGGCACTTGATGAACAGTATCTCAAGGTATGCATGTCTTTGTTGATGATCTTTCTATTATCGTGCATTATTTCTTTCCATTCACCATATGTTTCCGCTTAGTTAGAAACTAATGCCAGGATTTCTTGCTAAAATTCTAGTTTTTCCAAAATACTAATTCGATTCAATACTGGTAGTAGTAAATCGAATCCTTCCACAGTTGCTCATACTGTTTTGAATCAGTGATAGTGAGAAGTGTTATAGTTACAAAAGCTTCTTCATGAGAAACCCCACGATTCCTCTTTTTGCTTCATAGGTTTTGCAAAAAATTCTCAATAAAGTTAACCACCTTGCTTTGTGCTAAGAACATTTTCATCTTGTTCCTTAATCCCCCCTTTGATCGAGACTTGCTTTATTTTTTTTTGAATTCATTTTGATTTTTATGCTTTGATCTATTTCCGTGTCTTTTTCTTTGCATTTTCTCCTTTTCACATGAAAACGTCCGCTTGAGATTGTTTTTCTTCATGTATCATTTTTTTCCGTAGGTGGATGGTCAGTTTGGTGGAGTCGATCAAAGAAAAATATTCATTTTGGCGGAGGAACAGTTACCCAAGTTGAAACTCGGAAAGAGATGGCATCTGATGAACCCAATGGTGCCTGGTTTGACAGGATCTAAAATGAGCAGGTAAATTTATCCATTCCCATGCGCTTCACACATTGCGTATATATTCAGTTCTGAAGCTGACTCGAAAATTGACCTGCTCGACATGAGTGACTTAGTGGAGCGAAAAATTCGTGGTGCTGTTTGTCCTCGGCAGGAGGAAGATAACGGAGTTCTAGCGTTTCTGAAATCTGTGCTTTTCCCTATTGTTAGCCCTCAGTCTTTGACAATCTCAAATACGTATGTCTTTGCCTATCATCATGTTTTGAGATCGTCATTTTTTGAATTCAAAGTTTGTCGTCTTTGCAGTGAGTATTACTCTTATGAGGAAGTAAAAGAAGCATTTTTGAAAGGTGCCCTATCAGAAGACGATCTGAAGAAAGTTCTTGCTGAATTCCTCAACGAACTGCTTGCGAAGGTATGCATGAGGCGGCGTTTTTCTTGAATGTTCAATTTCCATTTGCTTTTCTAGTTTTCTAATTTTTATCTGGTTTTGTGAAAAGCGAATGTTTGAAATTACCATTTGGCATGATCAAATCCGTTTAAATTACCAAATTAGGTACAAGACCACTGCAGTACTGACATCGTGCGCAACGCTTTGGAGAAAGGTTACCAAGAGGTAGTAGAGTCCAAAGTGGAGTCCAATCTCCGACCGATTGTGGAGCCCAGTGATAACGACGCCGATCTCATAAGAAGTATAGTCGGATCCGATCAGGTTGCTAAAATGGCTTAAATTTAATGATTTTTGCGTTAATCTTAACTCTTTAGGTTGTCCTAGGCGAGGACTATGCATTGCGTTTGTGCTTATCTGAAAGGAGACGTTTACGTGTAACGTTTGCCATTCATCCGAAAGGTCGCTTTCACCTAGGATTTGTCATGGGGTTACTGAAAATGAAGGTAAATTTGGAAATCATGTAGTTTTAGAGTTTTATTACTAGTTTAGTCATTGGTTATGAGTGGTGTTGATATTGACGGGATTGTTTTAATATCGGACACAGAAGCCTTTCTTGATAATGAAAAGGTAAGTATCATCATCATAGTCTCCACGCATAACATCGTCGTTGAGGTGGCCTGGGCTACGCGAAACGATCGTAGCGAGTACTTTGTCGAGGTGTGTTCTGCTTTCATCAAATGTCTAGAGTTAGATGGGAAAGTAAAAGCCATGAAATCATCTGATTTGGAGTCCATCTTCTCACAGTAAGCTCAGCTTTGCACATTTTTTGTCACATTCAACTACAAATTTCAGCGACTATGTATTGACTATGTATAAAATGGCTTCGATTGTTACAAGAGATGAGACATCTGTTTGCGAAGGTGGGATTTTATGCTGTTTCCATTTTTGTTGCGATTGGATGTTATTGTTTTTCGTAGCCTCTTACTTCATTCTCATACTCTCTCGGCGAATATTCAGAGGTCTTCTTTTGCTTGGCACTATCATTTCTAAGGCCCTCCTGAAAACTTCGCTGTACAAAAGGAGGGCATGTGAAGACAGTGACATTTGTTCAGTGCATCATTTGCGCTGCGTCTCTTCTTTTCTTTGCCGAACATCCTACACGTTTAAAAATAATTGGGCCCTTTCGCGACACCGGCATTGTTTATTTTATATGATTCGCAGCCGATGCGGCTCACTAAAAACTGAGCAAGAGTCTTATCTAATTAGCTAGGAAAACATAATTAAATTGATGTTGATAATGTGTAATTCAGGGACAACACTAGCTGGCAATCTTGTTCCTCTATTTTATGCCTTAAATCATCACCTACTGAAGTCCGACGTTGTCCTCCTTGGCGAAGACTGCATCCCAATAGCAAATCTTGCTACCAAGGTAATTGTCACATAGTAGTGATTAATTTTATCGATATATTTTTAGCTCTGGGCTAGTCAAGGTTTCGTGCCACCTACACAGATAGCTTTCCCCACCTTGCCTGGATGTGATGGGAAGAAGATGGGTTGTTCTTCACCTGATTTTCTTCTTGATCCTCTAGAAACACCAAAACAAACAAAAACGAAGTTGGGAAGGTAATGTTTTTCGTCATTTTACGTTGCAAACGCAACTATCGAGCGTTCTTCAGGTCTTTTTGTGAACCGCAGAATTTACAAGGAAACGTTGCCATGACCATCGCAAAACAGCTGGTCTTCCCTTTGTTGTCAGGATCAAGTGAGTTTTCAATTACTTCTTGTGTATTCTTGTTGCCTTCGCTTAGATAATCGGTATTCGATAGATTTTCTGTGTGTACAGTACATATGAAAATGCATGTTTTAATTGTTTCTATTTGAAGTATGTTCTAAAGTTGCAGAATAATGCGAAATCCTGTTCAGGTCTCGATATCAATCGTAATGAAGACAACGGAGGAAACATAAGTGTGAAGACCTATAAAGAATTGGAATATGAATTTTTGATAGGCTCAAAAACGGGTTTTCCACTTCATCCAGGCGACTTGAAGAATGCAGTAGTATCATTCATCAATGGGTGAGTTCTGCCACGTTTTTAATGCTTATCAAAGTTTTGTTTTGTTTTTCAACTATGGGACCAGCCTATCCGATCTTAAGATGCCTTCACAGCGCGCCGAGAGCCGCCGGTAGCCCGCTTTTGCGCATTATCCTGGTATTCCAAAGCCTTTCCAAAAAGGTTAAAAGATTATGCTATTTGTAATAAACATGCCGGCTAACCGCACTAAACCAAGTTTGAGCAAGATTTGTGGTTTCGATATTGGGATCCAGATACCAGAATAGCGCTCAAAGGCGGCTAGGGTGCGCGGTGTGAAGGCACCCTTAGTAGTTGTAGGAAAGGTCAACTTCTTTGCAGCCCGTAAACCACGCATATTGTGTAAAGTTTATTTGCAGCCTCTTCGAACCGGTGCGAACTATATTGGCTGCTAAACAAGCGGCGCTACTGGCAGCGGCATTCCCAAAAGTCAAAAAGGGGAAGAAATAGTTTTTTTTTTATGAAGGTCTTGCTGTCTGCCACCAACATATGGTAGCATACGGCAGCTGTCGTTGTTCATTTAACATTTCAAACATTACCATTTTCAAGGATTTTCCAAAGCTCTGCAATGATAATTATTGCCATTTTTGCAACTGTCACTATCTTGTTCTATTTATTTCTTAATTTAGTGAGGTCACTTGCCTATAGATTCGGATCCATGTGATGAATTAGACTCAGTTTTGAACGTTCTAAACTGTGTGCAGAGCATCAACTGAGCGTGCAGTGGGTTGCGGCTCAAACACAAAACCTGCTCTATGAGCACGTACTGATTAGATGACATCACGACGTTTGCGCCGCAAGTCACTGAGTTCGCGCACAGTTTAACCGTCCCGATTCGGATCTAGGTGCAAAGCCGCCACCTCCTTGAAGGCAGTGTCTGGGCAAAAACTCATTTTCGTTTACTTGGGTCCATAGCTACGTAGCATCCGAAAGTGGTTGCAGTTCAGGAGTCACACCGCGCACCGTGGGCGCGACTAGGGGAGAAGGTGGCGGCTCATACATGCCTCGATGCTATAAGCAACCCGCGGCAGGAATACTGGCTGGAGCTGACACTCGTGCTGCTTGTCATGTTGCGGCACTTCGCAAAAAGTCCGCGCAAGACTTGAACCTGACCCGTGACCCTTAGTCTCAAAATCCCAGAAGGAACCCGCTTCTCATTTTATAACTTTGAGGACATCCACTTCCACACTGCACAGAAATTCGATTCCCAACCTTGTCCAGACACTACCTTTAATGTGCACTCAGTGACCGCTTTATCTTAGTCCCCCTTTCTGGTCGCCAACCCACTTGGGATAATACTTGAATCAATATTTATAATGGTTTCCTGTGAAATTGTTTCATCTGTGTTAACATCACAATCTCTCATTGTTGACTTGTTATGGGATTGGATGGAATCTTAAGTTGTTATATAGGAAAAGTCTCATAAATTAAATATATGTCCAGTGTGCGAGTCGTAAAGATCTTTTGCCAGAGGAAGGCGCAGGACTAGTGTGAAAGCTTTGGATGGTGACATCTCGCCATCTTCTTCCAGCCGTAATCCAGACTGTTTTGGTCAAAATCGCACAAGAAAATGTTTATACTACTTTAAAGTTAATATCACAGTTGGCATAAAGCACTGTAACCCGATACAACACAATGAAATAACGACGCCAAGCATGCAGAATGAGCTCTGAGGAATCAGTCAATTGGAGTAAACAGTCGATCTGGTGGAAATCACGAGCTATGGGAAAGATTATAAGAGATCAATGCATTATAGCCTCATGTAAGTGAACAACAAAGCACAACTCGACTTAGGTCAAATGAGCGTTCAAGAAATCATAAAATCGAGAGTATCTACAGTGGTTTCAAAAAGACCATTATGGCATCTAGTCTATACACATCTTCTTGGGAAAGTCGTCGATAAAACTGCTCACGTCTGTCACGGAGATCCCTCAGTTCCTGAAACGAGAGCTTATGGATGGTGCGGAATAGTAAGTGCGAAAATGTGCTAGATTATGCGTAATTCCATTGAAAACTTCAGATTGAAGACTTGGATAATCAGGAAACAAAATGTATATAATCTCATTGTGATTGCATAGACTGAATATTCAAAACATAGAATTGCACTCAGCTTTTAGCAAAACGATTTTCACTTCTCCATCATTCTGACTTAACTAACGCTCTTGACGTTTCCGAAAGTGACGTGATTGTCAGTAAAGAAACCACTCTTTAGTTTTTGTTCTTGCTATCTAACGCAACTGATGTTGGACTTGAAATAGCACGAACGGCGCATATATGTGGCTTCAAAGTTCGTTTGTGTGCAAAGAAGAGCTGGGAATGGTCAAAACATGCAGCAGCTTTTTACAGTTTTTTGCTACACTACGTACTAAATCAAAAAAATCAACTGCACATAAATATTGTTAGTGATGTAATGACTAACCTTAAGGCAATTTTCGGCTTTCTCTTTCCGTTCTTCAGCGGCCACATCCACACCTATCGAGCTAAGAGGTGCACGAGCGCAACTTCGGAGTGAGTCTAACAGAGTCGTCGCAATACATTGCAGAGAAGACAGCGCTACTTGACGGCATATTTCCGGTAGAGTATTGTCAAATAAGAAATCTGAAGCAAGTCTGTGGCGTTTTCAAAGTCACAACATAGTAGGAAATGTGTTGATCATTCAATGTAAACGATGCAAAAAATCATTCAGATGTGATAGCCTCAAATAGATGATCATAACTGGAAAGAATAGTACCTTTGAGTTTTTCTAAATAGATGTTGCATATGTTGATGTCCCAGCGTTTCTTCTCGTTGAACATGCGCAGCATAGCCACGACGGCCAAATCATCCGCAAAAATGCCATCCTTCAACATTTGTGTAATCCCGCCATGCTTGAGCGATGCTGCAAGCTGGTGCACACCTACAAAAACTACAAATAGTAGCCGGAACAAAGTCAAAATGTTATCAGCATTGGTTGTAAGGAGAGAACATAATGCCCTAAGACTTTCGAACAGCTACCAGCCATCCCATGGGATGTGGCGAAATGAGACCTGCTTCATGATTTTCAGATCCGACGAAATTCAGGGAAAAACATTGCATAAATAAATGTAAGTTTTGCTTTTTTTCTTATAAACAATCGAGATGATTATATCCCCACTTTTTAAAAAGGTTGTCTAACTCCAGTATTTCGTGAGATTCTCCGCAGAATTTTGCGAAATGTCCACTGATAAACAAAACTATGAAATAGCTCGGCTTTTGAGGGCAAAAATAGAATGCTAATCGAACAGTACTTCAAACAATTAGACAGCTGATATATGAAATGCTATTAGGTATGTACGTTATATAACAAGTTCATTTTTTCAAGAAATGTATTATTACGCTGGTAATTTTCATCGAACCAGGGAGAAAGACAGTTGAATGGTTGCCATGGCGCTGCAAGTCTATAGTATTGTAAAAACTTCGCGCGTATTCTAACAACAAAATTTATATCAAGCAATCTAAAGACTTCAAGGCTAGCAATAAAATGAGCCAGATTATTCAATGTTGTGCAAAACTTCGAGATTAATGAGGTAGTATGAAAAGGTCTGTTTCTGACCAAGTCAAGCGAGAAAACGAATTTGATTCAAAATTAAAATTTGATTTACGTCGAAAAGAACTGACCAAGCGCAGTTTTTTCGGCTTGCATAACAGTCATGTAGTGTTCTTTTTCCATTTTGGCAACAAATTCGTTTAGTAGCAGTCCATGAGCAGAATTCTGCAAAAAACTTGTTATTTCCGCTAACAAAAAAATGATGGAGTACCTCTCTATGAACTGCTGGTTCGTTAGAATTCGTAACATGCACAGCACGTCGCGATTCGCGAGGTGGCCTCGAGCTCATTGTGTTGCGAGAAGCCTTGTCTTGCGACCGAGACGGAGTAATTGGCGCCTCCTTTATTGTTACTCCGTTCGCAGGTGAGATACTGCGACTAGTTACCCGTGAGCCGGCTGTTTCGCGTACTCTATAAAATACATTCGAAGAAGATTATTAAATTTTAAGAAAGTTTACGATCAGGTTGCAGCATAAGTCTTGCATCAAAAGTCAAAACTGCAGTGTCATTTTCTACATAGCAAAGCAACTATGCAACATGGTCTCCAAACATTTGCACCAACTTCTATGCAAAGTTTGGATAAAAACTAAAAGATATAGATGCCCAGAAAATCGAGAAAAAAATTGGAGCTTTGTCCAAAATCCGGCGAATCTCCTACTCGCTCAGGCATATAATTTCACACCAATAATCATAAACAGATTGCTTATTTATTCTTCGGTAGATGAAAAGTTTCATGTTATTGCCACAACGATGCTGAACATTTCCCACACTAGATAAGTGTGCTACACAAATACAACTTTAAACTTTTACCTTCCACAGAAACTCTTCAAGAAACAAAATATCAAGTCTAGCTCATCTAACAGGGTTTTATGCCAAATTTAAGTTTTTGAAAATACGCTTGTACTTTTGTACTATACAATTTCTAGTATGGAAACAGCTATTCACTGCTCTAGAGAGAGATAACTTTCGTTTACAGGCGAGAAAAAATACATCAATTACCTATATAAGCCTGATGTGGAAAATATTATACATGCTTGGGCAAGCCTTGAATGGAGCTCGATTTCTTCTCGTTTTGGTTTTTCTGTGGACTTGTTGATTAAAGGAAGACTTACCTCGCTTCTTGAAATGGTACTTTGGATACTACCCATGATTTAGAAGAAATATGACTTAATGTAATTTTGTACTTGATGCTATTGTAGAAATTGTTACGAAAATGTATAATACCAAAACACTCCCTTTTTGAAGTTTTCTTAGTGAACCCCTATCGAAATTGTGATTTATTTGGCGCACTGATACGAACCTAGAATTGTCCACACTGGTCACCGCTGGCACTGACGGACTACGCGGACGTGAGACCAAATTTCTCTCCGAATTTGTCCGCCTAAATCGTACAGCAAGACTTTTACCCGAAGAAAGAAATGAAGAGATCATTAACTGAAATTAGGTGCATTTAAATGGTCATTACTTTGTCAACAAAAACGAATGAAATCATCACTACGATGAGGATTACAGATTTCCTCTTCATGGCATAATCAGTTCAAGGATGATAGAATTTGAAAAGTAGTCGATATTTATGCATATGCCCACCAATGACGGTTCAAGAGATTTTGTTCGACAGAGAGGGGGGAGAGACAAATTCTTTTTGAACAAAAGGACGTGGCGATAGCCACGTCTCTAGGATTTTTTTTTTCAACAGACAGCCCAAATTTTTTTTATTACAAAACCATTTTCAGTTTCTATAAGTGAAGACAAGTCAGTTGCACCATTTTACAACTCATGTACAGTAAGTTGCAATCTTTTTTGAGCGGAAATTGGATTGGCGGGACTCGCAACAATTCGCGGCGTTCCGCAACTACAGTATGCGGAACGCCGCCGCCATCGCGCATACTGTAGTTGCGCACACATCGCGCCAGAAACCCATACCTGCGTTTCTTCATTCTCCTCAGTCTTTATTGGCAAAATGCCAAGATTATCCGCAAAGCCTCCAGCGATGCGGACGCGCTGCTCCGCTTCAAATGTTTCGCCTACTCCGATATGAAACATAGTGTAGATGACTTCCAAAAACTTTACTGACCCGTCTTCGCTGCCGCCCCCTTTCCACCCCATCCCTCCCCCCCCTCCTTCATCAAGAAAAGAAAAATTTCTCGAACACGTAACCTACAGCAAGTCGTGATACAGGCAGTGTTTCCAATACACTACCGAGCTCAACGTTAACTCCAGAAATAAAGTCAAAATCATTTTTTTCGCTGCGATATGAAAAGTTGATATCAGAACGCAGCGTATAGAAAAGAAATGGACAGAGATATATGCTTCATAGTAGTATACCTTGCAGCAGAGGAAGGAATCGATCCCCCAAAAATATGCAACGCTTTCACATTGGGCCAAAATTGCACGTTCAAAGTCCGTTGGGAGCACTTATACGGCATAGTTGAAGATAAAATGTCGTATATAAAACCACTTGATCGTTTAGATATTCACAAGAGGTATGAAAGCAGTTTTATAGGAATGAATAAGAGCTGAATCAGGCTGTTTCTGGAAAGCAAAGTGTTCGTTCCTCGGACGCAGCTCTCGACCGCAAAGAGGCGCTGATGCGCAAAAGCAAAAACAATCAACTTGGAGAAGCGATTCGCCAACATTTGAAAATTGCACGAAGCTTCCTATGCATAGCAGATGGCAAGTGCTATGGAACAATCTATCCAAACGCACGAAAAGAGATAAATAGCAAATGAGAAAAAGAAATAAAAGTTAAACGGAAAACGCAAAAGTCTAGAGATCCCGATGGAAACTCAAAGGCAAAAGCATTTTTTCCTGCAAAAAATAGCCTCTAAGCACTTTGCAAAAAAAGAGCAAGTTGCCTTGGCAACCGTTCGCAGGGTGACACAATCAAATTCTTGGACACTCCCCAAAGCGGTGGTTTGGCCTACCTTTCCTGCGAAATGCATTAGTGGTACTAATCTAGCAATTTGAAGGAAGCTACTTTACTGCTTCGAAATAATTCAACTAAGGTAACAGAAACATGGATTAGTACTTAGTATTTAAAGAGATTAAGAATACTCTCGTACTAAAACACAGAGCAGCAGCAGCGAACAGCCACAGAGAACTCATGATTGCGACTAGAGAACGACACATTCAGTAAGTTCGCTCAAAAAGTCCTGTTTTTATACAGTGCTGGCCATAGCTATAAAGCCACCCTAAAAAATCAAGGTAATTTGTCCTGTGTCGAACAAAATTGTCTAAAAGACCACTATCCTATTTGTAAACTAACGTTATATCACTGTTCAGAACGGCTCCCAATTTTAGTGGTTTTGGATGGAGAAAAATCGAAAAATTTGAAAAAACCTGTTCCGAAGGCTGGCCATAGCTATAAGGCCACCTCCTATTTTCAAGCAATTCTACATCCTTTGAATCCAGAATTTCTTGTACAGTTACAGCATCAAAATATAAAGCATTTGTTACACCCTGGTGCTGTCGCCATTTAAAAAGAAGATTTATAGCGCATTTTTTGCTCCAAAATGCATAAAAAGTCACATTGCTGCAAAAAACTGCTAGTTTACTGAGTTTTCGAGCACTTATTCAACTTGGATGAGGGCATTAGGATTTGCTACGCTTTTACAATGAATGCTGTGAAGGGCGCTTGCGTCAATTCTGCGTAGTCGCTAATATCAATAAGGGAGCCTCAACCTTACCATGGGTTAGGCTTGCTTTTTGAGTCGAAAACTCGATTTTCGACGAGCAAAAAACTTCTGATCGGAAGTTGGCGCAATATTTGCAAGACGACGCACTAGTGCAAAAGTTGTCAGAACATTTGAAAAGACGCAACTTCAACGTTGAATTCAAATTGCTTCATCTGCAGTTCAGTTGGCGCAGTAGATGTAACATGACTCTGAATTTCACTCTTTTCAACTCCTCATCAAGTCATATCTTACGAAACTGTTAGGAACACTAGAATATTAGAGTTTTGAACGGTTTTTGGTCCGATCGAATGGTAAGAGCGGGTCTTGTTTACCCACAGTGTGTTACTGATTTTTGAAGGAATTGTGCTCAAGGCATAACCGGAATCCTAAAAGTTGCGATGAAGTTCCGGCAACGCACACAAGTTTATCGTTGTAAAGACGACGCAATGAAAACATAGCGGACTTTTCGGACATCGGAACTCAAATTCTATGGTTCGAAAGCTCATCTACCTGAAGGGGCGGTTGAGGCTCGCTCATTGATGTATGCAACTACGCAGGAGTGACTCAAGCGCCTTTCACAACATTCATAGCAAAAGCTTAGCAAAGTGTAATGCCCTCATCCAAGTTGAATAAGTGCTCGAAAACTCAGTAAACTAGCAGTTTTTTGCAGCAATGTGACTTTTTATGCATTTTGGAGCAAAAAATGCGCTATAAATTTTCTTTTCAAATGGCGACAGCACCAGGGTGTAACAAATGCTTTATATTTTGATGCTGTCACTGCACAAGAAATTCTGGACAAAGGATGTAGAATTGCTTGAAAATAGGAGGTGGCCTTATAGCTATGGCCAGCCTTCGGAACAGGTTTTTTCAAATTTTTCGATTTTTCTCCAGCCAAAACCAATAAAATTGGGAGCCGTTCTGAACAGTGATATAACGTTAGTTTACAAATAGGATAGTGGTCTTTTAGACAATTTTGTTCGACACAGGACAAATTACCTTGATTTTTAAGGTGGCTTTATAACTATGGCCAGCACTGTAGTAGCTAAACAAGAATGAAAATTTTTGACCAGCAAAAAGGCACGCGTCGGCTTAGGTGGCATATAAGCAAGCGGATATCGTTTTGGGGCAAAAAACAAAGGGAATATCGTTTTTGTAAGAAATCAGGTTTTTTAGTCGATATTTCGTTTTTAGTTGATTCAGATATTTCGCATAAAGATGAAAAGGAACTTCGTAAAATTTTGCTGAGTCAGGGGGACTTCGTTTTATGCATTTTCAGAAAGCCACCTAGTGACGAGTCCTGCAGAAGGGCTCGCGCATCACCAGGGGCAATATATTTAGCATCTCCCGCTCGCCGTTCGAGCGTGTTGCACCGTTATACACGGCCCGGACAAAGGAGAGCGTTAACCCGTAATTTACGAAAGGTTGGAGCATGGCCCAAACGGGCAGCAGAGTCCGATCTATCTCTGTTCAGAAGAGGTATTTATCTATCTCCTGTAAGGGAAAGGATTCGCGTATAGGTCACAGCCCGTACGGGCGCGGGCACTGGCGCCCGCGATATATGAAGCCAAGCCGGGCTCCTAATCATTGATGAATATGGTCCGATCTGGCAAGTTTGGCCATGTCGGGCACGGCAGTCGGGCAGCAGTTCCCCATCTCGACGACTCGGGTCTTTCGTAAATTGCGGGAAGGGCGCTCTCGCCTGTGCGGGCTCTCGTTAACAATGGCCCGCAGAGCGAGTGGGAGATTGATAAATACCGCCCCAGATCGCCCCGGCCGTGCCCGACATGGCCAAACTTGCCAGATCGCTTGAGGGTCGACCGACAACTGTTATACAATCCGGCCTTCTATTTTATACAATTTGTTATGTATTGCTTACAATGAGCCAAAAAATAATGATTACCTTGCACATTCCTGCAATTCCCTACAAAAAAATGATATTCAAAGCTTTACTGATGTTATGATATTCAAAGCTTTACTGATGGTAAGACAAATTGGCCGCTTCCGGCACATTTTTAGAAAAAAAGCACATTAACTTTTCAATCTCACTCTACTATTGTTGATGTGATCATCAAGATTGCATATAAATATGTAGTGCGCGAGGACCGAAAGAAAAGAGAAAAACAACAAAAAACGATAAGTTCTCATGTGTGCGATATGCAAAGTTAACGCCAGCAGGCGCTTTTGATATGCGCCCGCTTGCGCTGCTGGCGTGCTGCTCTCCACAGTAGGTTCCCGAACAGGCACGAGAGCGATATACAGGAGTTGACATACATCACCCCAGATCTCATGAGAAATTCTCGGAAGACTTTTGAAAAAGGCATCACATGCTTGGGTTTTACGACAAAATGTAATCATTTCGCAGATTATATGCCCTTACAGAGCAGATTATGCAGCAATTATACTGCTTTATTACATCGCTAATCAGAGCGGTTTAGATTATGATGATTGACGGAAACTTCGTCGCATAAAAAAGTCACAAAACTAAGGAGGTGCAGACATAACTGAGGTTTGAGTGTTCTCTATTTGGATCTCGATACGTAGAATATATTACGTATGAGCGAAGTAAAAGACTGTAATCAACGCTCAACTCTAATCCTTTCCAAAACGAAAAGTTGGGCCATTTTGGGCAAAACGAAAAGTTGGTGCCATTTTGGGCAATTTAGGAGGAAAAGCGAGTGAAACAAGATCATGCAAACTTGCAAAAAAGCAGACAGCGTTGGCGTTGCTTGACCAAAAAAAGAAATTGGTGTGTTTGCCAAAGTGCTTTTCAATCTGTAAAACGTTTTGCAGCGAAACGCTGGCGAGTTTTTTTGCTTCGAAATACTGCATGCTTTTGCAACATGGGCGGTGCAGTAAAGTTTCTCCAAGGTCAATCTTTCCCTAGAAAAATCTTATGAATTAGATATTAATCTCTTCACTAGAACAGAAAGATTACTTGATGCATTACTGATGCACTTCCCTTACAACATTTAAAGGCACCGTCCACCCTAAGTTGAGGTGTTGCGCTTTTGGCAGCATATAACAGTAGGGCCCTCTATCAATCCAATGCCCAAGTCGCGGCGCAAAATGCCGTTTTAAAAGCGAGAAAATCGCTTCGGAATAGCGAAAATGCAGGAGGACCCCCATTCATGCCCGCCCATTTGTGCGCGCCCATCCAATCACCGTTCTGGAAAGCCTGCCTGTGGGCTCTCCGGAACGGGATTGTCGGGGTTTTCAAGCATCCTCGACTTCATATTCGGAATCAGGGACATGTGAAGGCCCTGAAACGACAAAAACGTGGAAGTCGAAAATCTGGGTGGACGGTGCCTTTAAGACGCTTTTCCCATATCTTCTATCATAATTTCTATCAACTTCGTGAAGATTTGTTCTCGATTGTTTGGAAGAAAACGAAGCATTTCGCGAGCCTGCACGCCTACAAATTTTTTTCTTGACATCTACAGCGTCTTTTTCTCGCCGATGACAGCAACGCCACAAGAGAGTGGCTGTTCAATGCAATAAAGAGTTCATAAACGTTTTGAGCATCACTGGAAGTAGGTCGCGAAGAGACACGATACTAACATAAACGTGACGAAAAATAGGTGTATGCGCAGATTCTGGACAGACTCGCAAGATCCTTGGCATCTTAAAAAAGACAGCTATACGAAGCTGCTACAATCAATGTAGAACTATGTTCAAGTAAGATAGGTAAGGAGTAAAAATTCGGAACTGTGAAAGGAGAAAATGAACAGGATCCCAAAACGAAAATGGAAGACCCCACCTTCAGAAAGGATCGCCAAATTTTTCAAATTTACCTACATGATTAAAAAGTTGTGCATGTTACCTGTGTTTAAATTCGAACAATTGAAAGAATTCCAGGAAAATTCTTGAAAGTTCAAATTAACTTGTTGAAAAGGTTTTTTTGTCATCCTTTCGAATAAAATTACTCGGACCGCCACAGTCAGTCAAATATGCCAAAACCATGAAGTGCGCACCCCTGCCAAAAATTTTTCGCGCGAGGACCATCGGCAACATAGGACTATAGTTAGAGTCAAAACTACTACACTAAACAAAGGATTTTTTAGCTGACATGAATGAAAAACCAGATTACACATCAACTGTGCTAGCTGATTCATTCGGAATGTCTAGCGAGACAGCAGGACCTCAACTAATGCAGTATCATATCTGCTATATGCCGATTCAAACGATGTGAATGTATGGAAGAATCTCATTGTTTTGTAATCCCATTTAATAACATAATCTTTTTCAGGTTTCAGAAGAAAAAAAGGTTGCTAAGCAGTACTAATTACAAGCTATCCATGCACCTCTGACGTCAACTACGCTAAAGTGCGCTTTCAAACTCACTTATCATTGCCATTCTTTTGAGAACGAATTCTCGTAGAAATTGGCGTATTTCTATCAGAAGACGATGATCGAATGGGCAGCGAGTTATTTCGCGTGTGTGTGACGAATGTTGGGTCCTCCACATGCTGAAAGGATGTTCCTACATAATCAAAGAGACGGATTCGAACTGATTTCGAGAGTAAGCTGTAAACTACTGTTCGTTTAATTTTCGAGTTAGAAAACTTTTTCAGTCAAAATTCTATCTGAATGATCCACCATGTCTGCAACTTTGAGACATACCGACATCCGAGAAGCGCAAAGGGATTCTTGATATGATGTGCTGCTTGGTGAGTTTTCGCGCACGTTTAACGGAATCATTTCTTCGGATAGAGATTCATCATCGTCCGAAAACTCTGGACTCTTCATAGTTCCACATAAAAGCTCCTAAATTCCAAACATTTTAAGCATAACCATCTTTCACTTAATTTATGCACCTCCATGGAGTACACATGATATGACACCTCAGCGTTTGGACCCGAGCATATCAGGCCAATCCCATCTGAAGTCACATGCATATTGAGTACCTAAAAATATTGCTCTCAAAAATATGAGACAATGTGAAAGGACAATGCGAAAGACCTTTTTCGAGTCTGCAACGGTGTTAACAGCCAAGGTCTCGCACGGTTCTGATGTGAGAGTTCTCATGAGCTCATCTGTCGATGCGACCAGTAACGGATCGATCCCTGAAAGGAAACAATATCACAATGCCGAGTAGCATACCATCAATAATGAGCTGTATTGTCATTTTGTCAGGCATTACGCATGACAAAATCGATACTATGCTAGAAGAAAGTTCGTTCCCAAACTACCGCGAAAATGCGATAGTAACAAGCGAGGTACCATTCAACAGAGGACATCAAGTTCTGCAGGAATGATCTCAACTAATTTGTTCATACTTGTTTGTAATAATGATTTCTAGTCTCGAAGATTTAACCTAGCCTTAAAAAGTGTTTCGGAGTTGTGGGACCGCAAAAATATTGGGACGCATTTTGAGAAATTCGAAATGGCACGCACCTTTATTCAAAAAAATTATTTATTGCCCTACCCCGTCTCCTTCCGGATGGAAACCCTGAGACTGCCGCTTTGTGATAGATACGTTTAGCAGCCATATACAAACATTCATATGAAGCAAAAGCGGCATTATTTTGTTTCCGTCCCTTCAAAATGTCTCACTGCCATTTATTATGGTAGTAAGACATTTCTATGCAACACATGCATTTCTCTTTCTCTTCCTTTTGAGGCTATATTGACAATTCGTTTTCCTCTATGGGTCGCCCACTCAGGCATCTCATTCCTCTTGCAATTTTCAAAGTCATGTGTTGAAAAAAGTAACTCCTTTCCATTTCTCTGAGCCCTATGTGATGAGAGCTCGCTCCGTCAATAATGGCTAAATGCATTTGCGCTCCATTGCCTTCAAAAAAATCAAAAAAAAAGCTTTGAAGTATATTAAAATCAATTCTGAAGCATTTAGAGTAAGATGTATGCCAAACAAGCAAAAAGCTTTTAGCAAAAAGCTCTAAGCAATTCTGCTGGCAAGTATGAAAGAATAAAAAGATGACCATCTCTAATGAATGCAAGAATAGTCACGCCGAAGGCATTTGAGCTTTCGGCGCTTGACTATTTTACGCCTTGCGGCTCCAAGCAGAGTTCTGCGACAAATTTTCAATTCTAAGTCCCTATATATTTGAGGCTTTAGGAGTATTGGGTCCAAATGCGTGTATAAAAGCGGGATGAACATGGCAAGTAGCTTGATTGGGAAAGGAACGCAGATGGGCGTGTGGTGAGCGGCCAATCGGCCAATTGCCGATCAGGTGAGTGTATTGACCGAGTGCCTCCTCGCTTCAGGGACTGAGGGGCCCAACACCTATATATTAAACCAGTCCAAAGCGCCGCTTCGCGGCGCTTTGGACTGGCTGTGTGTGTGAAGTAAGAAGTGTTTAGAAGTTAGAATTTCTGGATTTTTTCGCTAACCTTTTCTTAGCCAACGGTAGCCTTATTCTTCCAAGCACGGCCTTATGTAAAATCATCGATTAGTGATAAGTCAGTTTCTAGCGTACAGACGTTTTAGGATAAACTCAAACACTCTTTAGCTAATTCGGGCTCACGCAGCCCCACGCCCCTGCTACCCTAGTCAAATCTCCGCAGTCCTGATGCCCAAAACTTTTTAAAGTAAACGTGCCAGATGCTCACCTGCTCTCTACAGCCTTCCCTACCATAGTGTCCCTCTCCCCTCTATTCTCCACAGGTACCATGAACTTTAATATGTTCACGTGTGCCGTTTTACCGCCATTCATAGAGTTCTAAGCCAATCTTTCTCCTTCCTCCTCCCTCCCCACCTCTTCGTTGATTTCTTACTTTTGCTGAAGAATAGAGTGGACAGAAGGGATTAGGATGATTGAAAACTATTAGAATTTTTTGTCAAAGCTTTTTCACTCTGAAGCTTTTCTTAGGCAGATTTCTTTAAGTACTTCTCTATTTTGGTCCTCGAGCTCTCGAGTTTCCCCCACCAAATTGCCTTTAACGCAAACAAAATTTTTTCAGTGCTCCCCCGAGTTTCTCCAGAACCCTCTCTTTCCCTCCTAAAGTTCTCGAGAATATGCATTCTCATTCAAAATTTTTGCCAAAACTCTCCAACCGGTTTTTCTTTTCTGTGGACCTTCGTTCGACCCGCTCTCTTTAGTTTACCCGAAGTGGCCCGAAACCCATTACGCTACAGCTAAAACGGTCAATTTCTTTAGTATCAAAACCTAAAATTTTGGTGAGAGAGATCACATCTCTTGATATAACTTCGAGTTGAAATCTGTACATCTTCATAATGTTAAATTGGAGCGAACTGTGAACTTTTAAGCGCGTAATAACTTCTGTAGAATGAGAATGATCCTGACGTATGTAACAAAACGTCTTGGAGGAGATAGTTTTTACAAATTTTGGTCGTGGTAAGACCAAAAGGACCACACTTGCACGGGCCTACCTGTTTGCTGACATCGAAATCTGTGAGTGTATTTGAAGTAGTATAGTGAGTGATGACTGACGAAACTGAACTGATCACTCTTCACCGACTGCATTGTCAGTATTTCACAGACTTTAGTTGAAACCGTAAACATCTCGGAAGCCATGATTCTCCTATATGGTCGCGGTACTCGTACAGTCGTGATGCGAAAGGGCACCTGTACTTAGTAAACGATGCGCAGCTCATTTACGAAAACAGACTGCATTCACGAAAACACGACTGCAGCAAGGTACCAAAGACCACTGCTGGCGACAGACATCCACGATGAGTCACATGGGGGTGCTTGCGCTTTATATAGAGTACCAGTCCAAAGCGCCGCTTCGCGGCTCTTTGGACTGGCTGTGTGTGTGAAGTGGGAATGTGACTGAAAGTTAGAACCTTCGAGGATTTGTAGCGAACCTTTTCCTCTCCAAAAGTATGGCATGGATTTAAACACGTAATGAGCCCAGAAGTTATCAAAGTAACGGATCTTTCCTGCTTTCGGAAGTTTCGGAAATTTTCCCATAAAAATTGGCAACAGAATTATGAATGCTCCCCTCCCAGCTTTTTTTAACCGCACCCACTTCCTTGAGACACGAATTTACAGATACTTAATTCACATATGCTCGAATCTTATATAATTTTGCGTTTTGCTATCCCAGTCTTTCGAGGTTTCCCTCCCCTCGACTCATTACCCAGTAACTTTTAATCAACTTTGCTGAAGTACCACTCTCTTCTCGCATTCTCACACTCTTCAATTCTGAGGGCATGTTGTAGGAGGCCGTTCTGACTCACGCTTCGAAAGTTGCCCCCAAATCTGCTTATTCAAATGTTCAGTCTGATCACGATTTAGACAGGCTTAGCCTAAGTTCTCCATGCTGCGAAGTTTCTCGGATGCTCTCAAACTTTTACGCGTCAAAAAACGTAACGCAAAAAAATTTTGTGATTGAAGCGCCCGTCCCAAACCCGATAAAGTAATCCCAGCCATGTGCACTCTTCCCACCCGGGGCCGTTTCCCACATTTGACCCTCCAAACTGCCTTAGAACCCCCTCCCCCCCCCCCCCCCACCCCAGAAGCTTCAATGAGACTACTTTCATCTCTTCCCGAAATCAAACTGAAGAAAATTCGAATTGTTATTTTTGAAATTATATAGCCAACATTGGAACTACCAAATCTAGAGCTTTTCACAATCGAACACTCCCTTTTTCTTTTCAGAAGTATTCTTTTTGAGAGCGCCATAATTTCTCTTCTATTTCAAGAAACTCTCGTTCGTGTTTTATGAGGTTCCCAAAATATCCGGCATCCTTGCAATTCATACGTAGGCTCCAAAATCGATCATTTTTCAGGACATCTTATTGAGCAAGCTCAAATTCTTGAAGGAACCTACTTAAAGGTGCCCATGCTTCTAGCTGCTCACCTAGGCAGATCTCGTTTCTTATACAATTTTGAGGTTGTACAATATTCTGGCAAAGCTGCGCTGTACGTTGGTAAAGCTTTAGTTTACGCAAAGCTAAGTTGCATGCCACCTTGTCTCTTATTCGTAGCTGAGATACTAAAGGCAGACTCATACAGCATTTAGTCCTAATATATCAAACGCGATCGCATTGACATTCTTTTACATTACTTTTCGAATTTTTGATGTTTGAAAGAAAACTCGGGAAGTTGAAAGTGTTCTTTAGAGTTTAATTTTCCTAGCTGAAGAAGGTTTTTGCATCCGGCTTTCATCGAGTCTTGAGACAATTTGCATGACCACGCTGTATTCGTTTGGAAAAATAGTGTTTTGTACAATTGTTGGCAACTATCTAAACGGTTCACACAGTATTGGGATGTCAACTCAATGGAGTCCAAAAATTTCGAAGTTCATCAACTTTGACAGACATCTTTGCATGTGAATTGAAAAGAAGAAAATCTAAAGAGCCTGTGGTGTAGACATTTCAGACAAAGTGCTTATTCATGAAAAATCGTAGACAAAGATTGTCCAGAGCAAAGTTTGCGAGAATCCTCCAAAAACAGATTTAGTGCAGTTTACCTGGAATAATAACATTCACTAAGCACTTCACGGAGAACTTCTTCTTGCTGAGATACGTTAACAGAAAAATTAGAAGGACAGAATAATTGAAGATTTGGCGCAGCTCTTACGGTGAGGAAACATACTAAGCACTCGAGAAACGGACTATGGAAGACTGCAGTATATTATACCTAACTTTTCCGAATAACTTATGCTCCCCTCCAAATTAAACGCTCCATAATAGAAATAGAGAAGCGAGATGTAAAAAAAAGAACGTAATGGTGTTGAGATAATGTACAAACGATTTGGCCAACCCTTGATGATTTTCGAAATGAAGCTATTACAGTCAGTGGAACAGCTTAATCAATTCAGCCAGTTCAAGTGGTGTTAATTTCGCTGTTTTTGGTGCCAACTCATAAACATCGCTAGAGAACATGACCGAAAACTCTGAAGGCAGCATTGTATGACGTCATCAGCGCGACTCATCTTGGCCGCCGGGCGCGTTGCCGTTAGTGGTAAACAACACCGGAACATACACACACCATGCTGACTCACATGGGGGTGCTAGCGCTTTATATAATAGTATGGATGATGATTTGCACAAGTTTTGTAACAACTTACAAAACTTTTCTTAAGGCATTGTGTAGATTGTGGAGGTACTAATAGGCTCTTGTTCGATTTTGGGAAGCACTGAAATTTTTTTTTGCATTTTCGTTTAACGATTTTGGAGCAAAAATGGAGCTGTGCACAAACCAAATACAACTCAGTGCAGATGTAACCGAAAAAATTGTAGGCTAGTAGTGGTTCGAGGTCACTAAATACTAAGCTCAGAGAGAAAAAGAGTTGTAAGTTGGAGCTCTGGTGAATGCTCGAGAAATCGAAAAAGTCATATGCATCAACGTTGTCTTGGAAATCTCTCAAAGTCAAAGAGTCGGAACTGTCAGACCTCGTTGAGACTTTGCCTAGTGAGGTAATTGACCTACAGGACACGGATATCATAGTCACTTGGTTGTCAACTCACTATATGGAGATGACGATCTCAAACATTTCTCTTGAAATTTTGTGCATCAATCTAGTATATAACATTCCTTACGTTCGAAGGCATTTTTTGTCTTTCCAAAAGTTATAAGTTTGAGCTCAGCGTGTTCGGATTTGAGAGCAACAGATCTCAAACTTAAAAGCAGTCGACTGCTCCTGAAGCGATTACTTTGCAGCCTTGGTGTTGAACATTCCACTTTAATATCCGCTAGCTTAGTTTGTTTTTCAATGAATCCATTTCCAACCCCTGCTTGAATGGCTTAACTTCAAATTGCATAGAGTGTTTGCCCATGAGCGCATGCATCGGGCACACTGCCAGCTGCACCTAATTATTGTCGGCTGCTAATGGCCGGCTGAATCGAACGCCACAAAGAAAAAAAGTTTAGCATGAATAATCAAGTACTCTTCCCATGGAACATGACTATCGAACCGACTTCAGAGTCTCTACTCGGGATACACAACTCAGGGTTTGACAAAGAGTCCCTCTTTCGGATATTGCGCTCAGATTTGATTAGGAAAGATAATTCAAAACCTCATAATTCTGTCACGTTAAGGCCCATAGCGCAAATGAAATCAGCAGAGTATGGAGAAACCATTCCTTCAGCGAGCCAGCAACTTATGAACTATGGGTGCCTTACTAAATATTCAAGTTTCATACGTTAGAGTCAACAGATTTGCTAAAAACAGTAGAATCAGGAGAGAGCAGAAATGGCAAACTATGATTCTACACTTATGCAAGCCATAAAACAGGCTTTAATCCTTTTCTTAGCCAAGATGGTTGTCTATATCTTCTACAGAAAGGAGTTTCAAAGTTTACAGCTTATATCAAATCACTAAAGAGTTTGCCGTATGTACTTATTCCATCTTAGTTCTATGCGAGAATAAGGATACTGGTGACACAATATTTCACGAACCTTGACAATTCACGAATCGCGCACAACGGATCTCGGAAGCGAATGCGTCGGACATGGCTATAGAGATGAACTCGTCCAAGCACCAGTATCTGACCACTCGGTCAGTTCCATAGGTGGCTACCATGCGTTGCGAGGGATGGAATACAGCTCCATGAGTCTGAAAATGATGTTTCCCAGAGGCTGAATAGATTGAGGAGACTTACCGATGACGGGAACTGTTTCAGACTGAGTCTTTGCCGGATGTCAAACAGCTGCAGCGTGGAATCGGTTCCTACCCCAAGTATAATATCATCAGGGCTGAGCTGAAACAAAGACAAGCTTCACATTTGCCTTGAAAGCACCGTTCATATCTGAGGCTGGTTCTGAAATGCTGACGCAATACCCTAGCGCCCCTAACTAATTAAGCAAGCTCCGCTGCAAAAGTGTGATCCAAAAGAAAAAAATTGCCTTGAAAAAGATGTTGCTGGGGTCGCCACGCCCACCGGAACTAGGCTCAGTACTATTAATACCTATGAATGTCCATAGTTCGCCTTTTATTATGAAAACAGATTTTCGACATCTGAATACTATGCCAGTTTCGGGTTCATTACTTCTGGACCACCCACACTGATGGGCGTGACGACCCCAGCAGCAATCACCTTCTGACTTTCCTCAATTCGAGATACACCTTTTGCAATTAGACCTAGGCATTTAATTGATTGTAAGCCTCGCTATCATGTCAAACCTCTCAACTTCAGATTTGGGCGTCTTTAATCAAAGAGTCTTTGGTACTAGCCGGCTTTTGTCTACAAACAAACAGCCTAACCCATGGCCAATCATGATTGGTCAACTCACCTCAACACATCGCACGGGTCCTGCAGCTCTACCTTGCAGGACGTTAGCAGGATGTGAGCGACTATCCCAGATTATCCACGTTGAATCAAGGGAGCCAGAAACCTGCAAAATTCACTTCATAAGCAAAATCCTCCCCGTATTTTTTGACATCATTCTGAAGAAAGGATAGACGATAATTCACACAATGCAGCATGCAAAAATTGCTACAATGAAATCAACGAACATTAGCGGCAAAATGTAAGACTTGGACATACCCAAGAGTACACGCTGCTCCATCTAGGTGCAAGTGCTCGTACCGCCAAAGAATGTCCGGAGAGATTTCGAATCTCACGACCTAAAATTGAAGAAGTCAAATTTGGAACACAACTGAAACCAACTCCCTACCTCTAGCTAAATCAATAAGTTTTATGAGTTCATTTGAACCAATCGCGATGTTCCTCTCATCTGTGCTGAGACGCAAGCAATCGACGTGACCAGCAAAGGACACACTAGGCACCTAAACAACATATGAAATTTCATCTCTGTCAAATTCTTTTCATAATTTGACTTACTTCACTATCGATACCAAGTAGCGAATGTGCAGTCAGTGGATTTGCCACAAATATGCATCGTGATCTTGACGACAGGACTGCATGTGTGGGAGGCGCGAATAACTTCGAGGGCTCAACAATGTCTGAAGTCGCATTTTTGAAACAAATGAAAATGATGATATTAGACACTTCAGAAGCCTCTTAGAGATGGTACCCGCGCTAGTCGTTAACAGATAAATCTTAGTCAATTTTTTTTTGCAACAGAGCTGAGTTTAGAAACTACAATCGTGATAAACTGCACTCTACACTGTCAAAAACAACTCAAAGTTGGAATCAAATAACATAAAAGTTTACTATTTTTCCGCAATGATGAATACGAAGTGCACCGCTCCAACCCTCTACACCATCGAGAGTATAGAGCAGAACGACTAAACATTCTATGTTGACGATACAGTCTGCACGCAGTAGGCATCATCAGAAAACAAGGGCCACAGCGCGCTAATATACTGGAGGAAAAAAATTTACGCGTATCCAGGCCGAAGAGTCCTTGCGTTGTTCCCAAGCGCACTTGAAGATTTTATGAGAGAACGAGACAGGAGATGCATGAGACGCGGCCGTGAATTCAACTCTTTTTCTCGTATGTGCCGACGTTAATGTTATTCGAGATCTTTGCATTTTCACGGCAATCCCAGTTTGTATGACATATCAAAAAAGCAACTAGATTTTTCTGGATTGAGGACCATACCCTTGGGATTTTTAGCGGTTTTCGTCAGATTGATTAACAGAGTTGTCGTGAGATAAAACTGAAGTGAGTGCCATTTGGCAGAATGTCTAGGTGTAATAAAAAATGTAAGGTTTTGGTAGTTTTTACTGGTGTAGGGTGTCCCAAAAAATGCGCCTATAGTTTAATTTTCAATTACTATCTTGTCATAAAGTCTTTCAAGAAGCTTTGAGTACCGTTTTGTAGAGCTAGCTTCAACTCAGATTTACAGTATATAGCAAAACACTGATCGCTCTTCATTATTGTAAGATTGTGGTATCAACTATATGGTGTCATTGCGAAAAAGGCTACGTTACAAAAATTTTCAAAGAAATGTGAGAACCTGCGGAGTAGGATTTTCGAGGATGAGTCCAATACTCAACCATTACAAAAATGCGAACCTTTCTGAAGCTAAACGCACTTTTTAAGAACATCGAAAAAACGGCCGCTACTGCTTACCTTGCAAGCGTTTTAATGAAGCATTATGATAAGAAGCGAACTTCGTAGTTAGAATCAGTAACTCTAATTAGCCCAGTGTGAAAGTTTTCAGGCTGTTTCATTTCCTTCCTGAGGTAAAATATGAACTTTCATGGCTCAAAACCCTTTTTGAAATTTCTACCGTAATCCTACAGTAATAAAGAGAGATGGGTGATTCGTTCTATACTGTAAATCTAAGCTGAAGCTAGCTCTACAATACAATGCCCAAAGCTTCTCGATGAACTTCACTACAAGAGATTTATCGACAATCAAACTGTAGGCACATTTTTGGGACACCCTGTATATTCCTTACAACAATACGGTAAATCCATGATGAATATTTCAAGCCCAATCTTCAAATAAGGCACATTCTGGTGAGCAAACGCAGTGATGCGAACGATAATCTCAACAGAACAAAAAACAACGCTGCGATCAAACACGCACTCGTTCAACGTTGCGCTTTATGATGATAAACTGGAGCTAAAAAAGTCTTATTTTAATGAAATTGCAACGGTATAAGCTCACTCTTGCTTAAAAATTGAGCTAACATACGAAGGTGCATTGAATGAGGGTTTGTTATAAGGACATTTAACACATATTTTAGTAAACAACGATGCACAATTAAGAATGTTTTAACATTAATGTTACACCTTTGTTCAGATCATTGAAAAAAAGAAACCGTGATGATACTATGTTTAACCAAACTACTAAAACAATTTCCTCACTCCTACCAGTTGCAGCTATCTCCATTCTTGTGAAATGCGCTACGTTTTGATATGGGTTATCCATTGATGGAATGTAAGATTGTGAGGTTGTGTCTAATATCGCTTTCTTATGACTCTAATAAAATCGTGAATGTCCCTGCAGATTTCAAGCAGAGACCTGGCACCAAAGAACGAGTTCAAGATTTTCGCAAGAATCTAGCGAAAGGAGAACAACAACCCTTAGTTATACTCTTTTCACGACCAAGGAAAAAAGCGCAAAATGGACAAGCAATTTAGAATTGCCTCATGTATGCACGTTGTGTGCAATAGCGTTTATCGGTGTACAAAAAAAAACACGTGTGTAGATTTTCGATGTGAGCACCTCTTGCAAGTATTCGCCCAGAGCACTAGCTCTTGCGCGAATCATCCCCAAGCAGAGGGAAGTCCGAATGCGCGTCGCGCTGTTCTTGAACTAACAACTATGAAATATAGAGAAATGAGGGTTAGCTTAAACGAGCGTACACTTTCTGACTGATATTCCGCCACTGGAGCTCCTGAGGTCTACCAAAGAGGAAACCCAAAGTTAGAAATCACGAAACGCGATTATGAAATACGTGAGAGATTCGAGAATTCGTTTTTTTTGCACCATCCAGGGGGATTCCTATCGAAAATCTAGACTGTATGCCGTGAAGAGCCCGTTAGGAGGAGTTCAAACTGTTGTTTAGCTGACACCGCAGGGCCGCAAAAACGGATAAAAATGCATGGAAGGTTCTTGCCGATCGTACAATACTGACAATGAACTAAACCCCTGACAAACACTGAAAAGAAAAATTTTAGTAAAGAAAAGTTAATTTGCTAATTGTAAAATATAGTATCGTTTTCACGCTGGTATTAGGTCGTCGTTGCCCTCTAGAAAAACTCTAATAACTTCAGCAAGGTCATATTTAGCATATACGAGTAATGAAAGAAGCACTATCGATTGGCAAAATTCCCAGCTTTGCAGCTGGAATACAGTAGACATAAAGGCAACTTTGTGACGGCCCTTAAATCTCCATATTTTCTTTCTCCTCTATAAATTCTTCCATGCAGATCAAAAGCCCCATCTCAATATAGACGTGATGTCTGTTATCACATCAAATGCAATTTACATGCAAATTCATATTCGTTGTGATTTCCAGATACACTAACTTGAGTTGATGTTGTAGTAGTGTTCTTAGACGTTCAAACTCTTATAGAGTGACACTTTGACAGTGTCCATACAAAAGAGGAAGGCCCGAAGATTCCCCGATAATGGGAGGGTTCTCTATGGCGCGCAGACATACGACAAGCGATTTCCATCGCCACGCGATTTGGCAATACTTCAATACGATTCAAGGTGAGAGCATTTTGCACATACAAAAGTAAGGCAGTTTACACAGAATTTATAACTAAAGAGCTACAGCCTATGAGTGCTGAATTCAAAATGTACACATGCCAAATCGCAAAACAGCGGCGACTCAGATCGCGTGGACTAGGCCTACGAACCCTCGCCTAAGGCCTAAGGCATACCTTGCGCGATTTCGTCAAATCGCTACATCCACGCGACTTGGCAGATTGCCAGATTTGTGCAAACTAACCGTGCGCGGATCTCGAATGCATAAGTGCGTAGCTTCCGTAAGTTGTAGCAACACCATCAAGTCTGACCCGTGCAAAGCGCGCTTACGGCCAGACATGAGGAGTCGCTGCAGTGCCAAATTACAGCGACTGGAATCGAGTGAATCACGCGATTCGGCCAAATCGCCACTTGCACCCGACTTGGCGGTTTGCCAGATTTTTACAAATTTATCCTGCGCCCTTCTTGAACGCATAGGCGGGTAGCTTGTGTAAGTTGTTCCAAATGGATCAAGTTCTAACCAAAGGAAGCGCATTAACGACGAATTACAGACAGTCGCTGTTGTGCCAAATCGCGCTAGGTATGCCTTAGCCTTAGGCGTAAGCGAGGGAGAGGGAGGGAAGAGAGGGCAGGCGAAGCATAGGCCCGAACGAGAAAAAGCTCCATAATCGGCTCAAGTCGTCCCTATGGTCCTGCCGGTCCCTTTTCCCCATTACAACTAGAAAGCGCATGCCGTAGTGTCGCGAAGTTAAGAGTCATAAACAACTATGTTTCCAGCTTAACTGATCGTATATTCTCTCAAGTCGTTTGCGCGCTTTTCGCGCTGAAATCAGCATAACGATTAATCCCAAACGAGAAAAAGTACCACAGGAAATATGATCGAATTGCTGCTAGAAATATTAAACTGCATAAGAGATGAGTGACTGCCATCGGAATATTCTATTCAAGACGGACACTGCCTCCGTCAAATCTGAAGCAAGCATTTCACACTCCGCTGAAGTATGCTTGCAGCGACCGCAACTCGCCGAAGAATCGCGACGTTTTTCGTGAATTCTTGACCTTAGGCCCAGTAAGATCAGAGGTGTGGGAATATGTTAAAACCTTGCTTTAGGGCTCAACTGATGAGCAAGATTAGAGCTGTCCGTTCTAAATCCAGTGGCTGCATTCGGAAGTCCGCGTAGATGATTTTTAATGATCGTCGATCTATGTAACTATGATATGTTAATCAATAACTTTTGCGGGGATAATTCCTCGACCTATATTTCTACGAATCTCGTATTTTATAATGATTTGCCCACGAATTATGGAGTTGCATAAGTGGTTAGGCATCGCGTCTTGTCAATGCAAAGTTAGTCTCTAAAAACACCTCACGCGTTTAGTGAAACCGAGAAACTGACTGATGTTGATTAGCCGCTCTCTACGTCAAGGTTAATTCATTTCTCAGCCTCAGTGGTCGTGCCATAAGGTCTAGACTAGGAAAATGGGATAGTGTGTAAATTAGAAAAGCTGCGGGCCCCAACGTTACCTGCAGAAAAGCATAAGAAAACGTAGAGGCAGCGAACCTTGCAGAATCCCGTTGGTGGAACACGGCATTATTGACATAACACTGAGGTGCTGAGATTTGTCAAGTAGAGCATTTAGTTTGATTCTTTGATCCAGCACGTAAACTCTCTCGGCACACATGCGGCCATAATCGCCGACTAGATCAGGGCCATTAGTGCAGTGGCCTGGCAAGGACATATATCGCGAATCATTCATTTGATGTGTAGAATGTGCCAACTAGACCGTCAAAACAAGATAACGGAAATAACACAAAAAATTGAAAAGTTTTCCCATAAGAAAACGACATAGCAGTCTGCTTCAAGAAACTGGATGATGGCCAGATGGCCAATAATTTACAAGGAGCCAATCGAATCGGTAATATCAGTATGAACTCGATGGTTCCGTTCAGGAAAACGAAATACGAGGGTACATTTGACATATTCAAGGGAACATCCGCAAGGAACATCGCTGTTTAAGGCGGTCTCCTCCCTTTCAGTGAAATCTTGGTTGGATACCAAAACGATCATGTACTTTCAGAAATAAAACCTTATACCACTTGGCAGTCAAAGCCACTACACAAAGTGAAAAAAGCGTTCCTATAAGCATGAGATCGCATTACAAGCACTATGTGCGCTTTCCCAAGGAAAAAGATTCATTTCACTTGATTTACCTTGTCTCGGTTTTCAAGGCAAGCGCAACGGAGTTATTGAAATGCTGGGAAGACAAAAAAGATCATGTGAAGGTTTTCGGATTAATAATGTCTGAAAGTAGAAGTAAAAGTAAAAGTGATTAGAGTAGCTATGGCATAGATACTAAGGGAAAAATATATAAAGATGTAATGTTGGCATCAATTGCTGTTTCTTCGAAGGGCGAAGGGAAAACCATATGCGAAAGCAAACAACTATGACTGTTTTCTCAAGCGAAAATCAGACAGGACCAGAAGTTTCAACCCACTGCATGTCTAGCAAAAAACCAATCCACAGCAGTGAGGAACTCAAGAGAAATATTTGCACGACAAGAAACTGTTCGCGCATGGTGATGAAGGAAGGTCAGAAAAGATGATACTGGTTGACTAAAAAGTTGGCGATAGTACCAATTCGCACCCTGTATCTTCCAATACATACGAGAGAGTAAGTCCATACAACTTCTTTCATTTTTTCCTGCAGCGGCGACTTTGTCTTAGTGCATGCATACTGCTAAGTCTGCAATATGTACCGATAAAGTTTTCCAAAACGGTCTCAAGCCACATCGAAAAACTACTTCTGCCAAACCAGGTTAATGAGTTGCGAAACACATACACATATCTAGATGAGTATGATACTTGGAGTCCCGCATGAAAAACTGCGATCACGTATAATAAAGTGAACAAGAGAAATAGGAGTGAAGGTGCACTGAAAGATGATAAAAGAAAGAGACAAAAGGCATTCGATTGCAAATTACTCGCTTATCTAAAAGAATGAACGAACCGCCGGTAGAGGAGGGATGTGACGAGAAGGTTGACATAGCTTTCGCAAACATGAAACCAAGTTTTCAAATTGAGGACGCGACTTCAAAATAAACGGATCTAGCGTTCAAGCGGTGCCTCCAGAGAACTGTCAGAGCTTTTTCAGGTAATAAGGGTACAGAAGCATCATTCTAGAAAAGCATGTTCTTGCATGGCTCCACAAGCTGTCGAGACAGGAAAGCATTCCAACTCGAAGAGATATTCCACAGATATTTACAGAATGACGATAACGAAACACAAATCATGCGAGCCGGAAACGAATGGTTGACAAAGCCCTGTTCACTATCGTGATGACGGAGATAAAGATTTAGCAAAACAATAAAGGGAAAACGCAAATTTGTTGCAACAAAAAAAAAACGAAAACTAACCGTATGTTTTCATAGAGCTAGCCTGTGTATATCAGTCTGTTGAATTCAGGCAACGGGCAGAAAAACTCCAGTTGCCAGCCTTTGCACCTGCAAAGAGATAAATGAAGACGCCACTTTTTCTCAACTCAATGGTACAGTCACAGCGAAAATCACGTGAAGCTCAAGTGCCAAAAGAGGAGGGAAAGAGGCCAGCCGGCTGCTATTCGATACGACCAGGCCTGCAACGGCCGCAAGAGCTTTTTTGCGTTCGAGGGCAGAATGTCGCGGGAAAAGGCGTGGCAAAACTATGTCCGCAAGTGCACAATGCGATGTCGTCATCGAAATTTTGTTCAATTTTTCTGCATAACAAGCTCGTTCCAGTGTTTTTTGTGTTCTAGAAGTTTCATTTGATTGAAATCGGTGTACTCTTTTTTGGTGCATAATTGCCTACTTCCACTCTTTTCAGCGGCTGCGCAGTTCCCTAGCTAAGAATGGACGGCATCATCCAAATGCTTCCCGAGCCCTTGAGAAGATTCTCAACTCATCTCGACTTTCCTGGGCAAAAAGCAGCAGAGCGAACGTTCCAGGTAAATTCAGCGACAATATTTATAGCCGATTTCTAGTATTTTTAGCATTCCATATGTCACAGTTCATTCAAAAGACCCAGCCTTGGCTAGAACTCTGATAAAGGCAAAAACCTTCCTCATGACAAAATTTTTTTGCGATTGATCTTGTTACTATTTATATCACAGAAGCAAAAAAATTTTGTTTTCTTTTGTATCGCACCAGATCATCACCTATACTAAAATATGCGGAGCCCGGAAATGAGATGTTTTGCTCATCATATGGCCTCTGAACAGCTTCCATGTAGCAGCAGTTCACTACCATGAGATCAATAACAATTTTTTGTTTTCGATCTTCACTTTGCATAATGAAAAATCAAGAATAGCTTGGACTGAATTGCACCTCATGAACAGAGCTTCGGAGTTTTGTAGAGAGCTTCAGAAATCGCTGGAAGAGATTTGGTTCTTCTAGTGTTACTCTTGCAGGTAATCATCGTGCTGTCTGGAATAATTGGGTTTTTAATCGGATTCTCGACCCAACAACTCTCTCACGCCATCTACACTGTACTGCTTGGAGCTGCATTATCTGCTTTGATTGTACTACCCCCGTGGCCTTTCCTCTTCAGGAAGAATCCTATTGTTGTAAGTCTCCAGTTGCTATTTATTGGCGTTAACTATTCAATCTCTTACAGTGGCAACCAGTTACACCGGCAGAAAGCAAAGAAACGAAAAAGACTAAGTAGTTCTGTTTGTCTTATCGCTTGTTTTCGGTTTTGGTTTTCTTAAATTTATTCTATCTTTCTGTGAATGGGTATAAATATGCGGAAATTTTGTTGATTTTGTTCACACATCATGGTTTACCCAGGGTAATGAATGAATTTGTTTTGCTCTCTCTGGCTTCACTTGAGTGCATTTATAGTGACAATGCTACGCTCGGGTGCCGCGGGCATTCGTTGCGCGCTTCGGGTACCTCTCCTTCGAGCTGCTGCTCTAAATCTGAGGTCACGAGCCATGCTTACTAAGTTGTATCCTATATCTACGTTTCGAATACCACAATGTCGTTTTTATGCAGCCAGGTAATGACTGTTTCTGGTACTTACACATATTTTTCTGATTGGCCCGTATTATTAAGCGCAGGAAGTGATGGAGAGAGTTCCACGCCATCCGAGGAGGATTCTGGAGCTCTGGAAGTTGTTGAAGGAAGTGACTCGGTAACACTGTTAGCTTTTTAGTGTTGAATCATGACGGTTATAACTATAAAGATGAACATTCACCAAAGCAATGCTTAGAAGGGAAGGAGGAGGGTATGAGGTTGGATTTTACTATAGAACTCGGGAGAAGTTTCTTGTCATGCTCACTTGTCAAGTCATAGTTCGGGCTTTTTTTGGGTAACTTATTTAGTAATCTTTCGAGAGTATACGTGTTAGGGAGTACTATTAGTAAGTAATCTAGGTCATATCCCTCTATTATCAAAGTGCTTCTGTTATAGGGCCACATGAGCACTATCAATATTCCTGATGTCTTTCCTATAGTTCCACTTCTAGCCATAAATCGTTATCCGTTATTTCCAGGATTCATCAAAAAAGTAGATGTAAGTTCATATGGGCGGTGGTTGTGCTCTGTTTATCATCAGTTTTCCAGATTGTGAAGGATGATGGACTGAAGCAAGTCATACGCAATCGAATCGCACTCAAACAGCCATATGTGGGAGTTTTCGTCAAGCAAGATGATGAGTTAGTTATTGGCATCACATATAGTTTCTAAACGATTGACAGTAGTTTTGATCATTGCATTTATTATTCTATTCTGAAAGACTACAGCTTTTACTCTCTATCTCGAAATTCTAGCGTGCAATTTTTCTTGAATTTTTTTGGTTTTTTGGTTCTTTCTGCTACATTCGGAGTTGTCGTTTGTTAATTCGACTCTGTTGTGAGTCATTACAGAAACAAGGAAGAAATTATTACATCACTGTCGCATGTGTACAATGTTGGCTGTTTCGCCCAGGTACGATTGACTCATGTTCCTGGGGTCGATACAATGTAGTATGTACTGTTTAGATTATCGAAATGCGTGATCATGGCAAGGTTATGGAACTAGTTCTGAATGCACATAGAAGGTAACTAACACAAGCGTCGCAGTTTCTTTTCGTATTTTGTAAGCCTTACAGAATAAGACTTTTGGAAGCCGTAGATGAAGCCGCCACTGAGGAACCACACAAAAATCTCAATGGTCGAAGAGCAGGAATACGGAAAAAAGTGCATCATATTTCTCAATTTCTTATCTCGGATACCATGACATGTTTTGCAGCAGGCTGCTCAGAAACCACCACCGCTTCCTCCGCAGGAAAAATCTTCCATTCTGTTAGTGCGTACAGAAAATGTAATCGCAGAGCCAGCGGAAAGAAATAACGAAACGAAAGCAAAAATGCAAGCAATCGTTCAGACAATTCGGTGAGTATGTGGTGAGATTCAGCAGAATGTTCTCTGTTGAAACGAACTGTTAAGAAACCTATGGTTTTCTGGCAGTGTATATTTCTTCTTGCAGGGATGTCATCCAGTACAGTGCTCTCTTTGGCCAGCAGATCAATCTTCTTTTGCATCCTTCTCAAAATGTCATAGAGAATCCAGTTTATCTATGCGACCTAGTTGCTACTTTAGTGCAGTCGGCCGACACGAAAGAACTTCAGGAAATGATGGAGGAAATCAGTGTGAGTAGTCATTGAGGCTCAATGCTGATGACATTCGTTTTTATTATTGTGGTTAGATATCAAGGCGGCTTGACCACGCACTTGTGCTAATCCAAAAGGAGAAGACTGTGGCTAAACTGAAGTATGACATCAACAAAGATGTCGAGAAAAAGGTCCAAGATCAGCACAGGAAATATTTGCTCAACGAGCAGGTTCGTGCTATAGCACCGTCATAGGTCGTATCATTTTAACGCACTTTCCAGCTCAAAGTGATCAAGAAAGAGTTGGGGCTGGAAAAAGATGACAAGTCAGCGATAATTGAAAAGATGGAAGAGCGATTGAAGGAGTTGAAGGTCCCAGAGTATGCCATGAAGGCAAGCGAGTTTTAATAAACATGTTTGTAATAGTTTTTTCATGTCGAATGAATATCTCTTGCAGGTCATTAGAGAAGAGCAGCAAAAACTGCAGTTTCTTGATCCACATTCCAGCGAATTCAGTGTGACAAGGTTAGCACCTAGCTTTAGCTAATAATCGAAACTGTGTTTCTAACATGTTGCTTTTTATACCAGAAACTACCTCGATTGGCTAACCAACATTCCATGGGGTTTGACTTCGGAAGAGAATTACGACTTACAAAAGGCGAAACTTGCGCTCGATCAAGGGCATTATGGCATGAAGGACGTCAAAGATCGAATTTTAGAGTTTATTGCTGTGAATATGCTGAAGTAAGTTCAGACATGCTTTTTTGAGAAACACTTGATTGGTTCAGAAAACATGTTGGTGGAAAAATTCTTTGCTTGCACGGTCCACCAGGTACGGGAAAGACGAGTATAGCCAGGTCTATTGCGTCCGCACTAAATCGTGAGGTAGTAAATCCTTTCATGTTGGGGTTTCTTTATCTGAGATTCGTATTTCAGTACTTCCGATTTTCTGTTGGAGGAATGACTGACGTTGCCGAGATCAAAGGTCATCGAAGAACATATGTTGGTGCTATGCCGGGAAAGATGATACAGTGTTTGAAAAAGGTAAATATTCCATTTTGCATTTGTTCTCAGAGTAAAGCGCTAGGTTTTAGGTCCACACAGAAAATCCCCTTGTGTTAATTGATGAAGTGGATAAGATCGGCAGCGCTGGCTATCATGGTGACCCTGCAAGTGCTCTTCTCGAACTACTAGATCCTGAGCAGAATGCTAACTTCAACGATCATTTTCTCGACGTTCCTGTTGACCTCTCTAGGTACTTTTTTTTGCAGGCAGTGGCCCGGCAAAAGGGATCCCTCTCAGATGAGTGATGTTGTAGTAGACCCCAAGTACGCGTAGTCCCAACATTTTTCATTCATGCACTAAATCTTGAAGAGCTGCCCCAAAAACCCACCAGTCCTGCCCAAGTCCATTGCGTGGGCTTAGCATTTTTTTAATTAGCTCATGAATTGGAGGGACCTGTTGGGGCTGGTATACTTAGGGAAAGGCCATAGGTTGTCGGCAGTGGCGTACCCAGGATTTGGGCTCGGGGGGGGGGGGGCGACAAAAATTTTTCTCTAATGAAGGTGCGTGGCATTAGCCACGCACTCCGAAAAATTTTTCGGGATGTTTCTCAAAATTTTCCTGGTCCCTGACCCCAAAATTCCAGAAAAAGTGGGCGTGGCGGTAGCCACCGCCCCCCCCCCCAATTTTTTTTACAAAGCTAATTTGAATTTTTAAAAATTATTTTAATTATTTACAAGTAAAAACAAGTCCTCTGCACATTTTTATAACACATTTGAGTAGCTTTCAAAAATTTCGCGACCCGTTCTCGGGGCCCTCCGCCCCCCCCCCTCGGTACGCCACTGGTTGTCGGTGTTGTCGGTGTTGCGGGGTCAGAGACAGTTTAGAGAGCGCGCGAAACGTGGAGGCTATCATGAGGTCTACAACGACCGGCAACCTCGGCAACCCCGACAACCTATGGCCGTTCCCTTAGAGGTCTACCACTCACTATCAAATGTGAGAAAGGTCCATTTTGTCACTGCCTTTAAAATGCTTATTTTCTCACTATGCTCATGTGCCGTTGGGATAGTGGAATCTTGTTACCAATGAGCAAGTTTCATCAATACCACATGTTGCAAAGTCTTTAAGTGAACTGGTCTACAAGAGTTTGTGTTTTTCGTAGTGAGTAGTACTCAATCATTTTAGGGTATTATTTTTGTGCACTGCCAACACTGTGGACACGATACCGGGACCACTCAAAGATCGCATGGAGTTGATAGATGTTAGTGGTTATCTTGCGGAAGAAAAAATCGAAATTGCTCAACGATACTTGATCCCTCAGGCACGCAAAGAAACGTGAGTTCTTCATTTCAATTCATTAACTGCATCTTAATTACCAATCTCTGCAAGTTGTATTTTAATCAGTTAAGGTCGCTTACGGAGGAACAATTGATTATTGAAAATGATGCTGTTGAAAGTATAATCAAACATTACTGCCGCGAGTCAGGAGTGCGAAATCTCCAGAAGCATATAGATAAAGTAAACTGCATGATTTGCCCTGCTTATTTCTCTCGATTATCCGTGCCTTCATAGATTTTCCGCAAAGCTGCTTTGCAAATTGCTGATCACCCGAAAGAGTCTACGTCAGACACCATTGTCGTTAACAGCGAAAATTTGGAAAAGTACGTTGGAAGGCCAAAGTTCACTACTGACCGAATGTATGAGACGACTCCACCTGGGGTAAGTTCCTTTTTTCATCTTTTGTGTGATTTTGATCTAGCTCTCTTGAGCTCAGCATTGCCCTGTTCGGCGCAGAAAACTTTTTTTTAGTTATCCGTTACGCTTGCCACAAAAATGTGTTATTTATTCAGGTGGTTATGGGACTGGCATGGACGTCCATGGGCGGTTCTGCATTGTATATCGAAACTGTCTTGAAAAGGCCCGTTGATTATGCTTCCGATAAGGATGGGAGCTTAGAAACAACTGGCAATTTGGGAGACGTGATGAAGGTGTTTTTCCTGATGCCATTGCTCGTACCGTGCTCAAAATAAGATTTCAAGGAGAGCGTCAGAGCTGCTTTTACTGTAGCCAAAGGTATACTGGCAAGGGACGAGCCTGATAACAAGTTCTTTGACAAAGCTCACATCCACATACACGTACCCGAGGTACATTTTTCCGCTTATTAGATCATTTGCGGAAGCCATAGAAAGCTCATTACAGGGAGCTACTCCTAAAGACGGTCCCTCGGCGGGAGTCACACTCGTGTCCTCGCTCCTCTCTCTTGCACTGGACAAGCCAGTAGTTCAAGACATGGCTATGACGGGCGAAATTTCTTTGACAGGCAAAGTCTTACCCGTTGGTGGCATAAAAGAAAAAGTCATAGCGGTATGTTTGTAGCATTTGTAGCACACTTTTTTCTTCACAAAAACCTCGTAGTTCCCATCACTGTTATTTTTGCTTACTTCTCTTATTCAAAATACCAGCAGAGAGCAATTGTGGTTAACCCTGTTTTGACTCGCAGTTTATCATTTAGGCTCGCCGGGTTGGAGCAAAACGAATCTTTTTGCCTACAGAGAATCGCCGAGATTACGATGATCTGCCCGACTTTATGAAAGGCGATCTAGACGTGCGATTTGTTTCCCACTACGCTGAGCTTTACCAAGATCTGTTTGCTTGATAAGTAGGAAACCCTTAGGCTAGCCAACGGTCCGAAACAAATAGATTGAGTGCAGATCACTTCTTTCATGGATTGGTGAAGCAAATACGTCATGATCTTGTAAGAAATAGCATGCCAGATGCATACTTTCACATTGTTTATGTTGTTATTGTTGTGTAGGAATATGTAAATAAAATCATTGACATCGATGCATATCACTCCTGTTCGACTCATTGCAGTTATTGCACCCAGAGTCTCTGTTTGATATTTCACTTTGATTGAGTGCTCCTATTTGGAATATGAGAATGCTCGCTTGTGAATTTTTATTTCGCACAAATAATAAGCAGAGTTTGTGAAGTAAGATTGACTTCAACAAATCATTTGAAAAGTCTTCTTCAATCACCGAATTTGGCCTTAACTCACTTTTATCAACTCCTTTGCTTTTTGTTCAGGTCTTTCAGCAGTTCCTGTAGATATTTGTATGGCTATTGTCGAAGAAGTGCACGAAGAATCGGATGTACTTTCTTCTGTAGAAAACTTGAAGAAGGAAGGCAACACTAAGTTTGGCGAAGGGGACTGGGGTGCCGCAGCGGAAAAGTATAAAGTCAGTTTTCCATGTAAATCTGTTTCTGATTCAACCAGTGCTTTCAGGAAGCATTGGAGCTATGCCCTGTTGAAAATGATCTGCTTCGATCTATTTTATTTTCAAATCTCTCAGCAGCCTATATAAAACAAGCTCTCTGGGAAGCAGCTGTTGAGGCTGCTACAAATGCTATCGAGGTCCGCGTTATTTCGAGAACGTTTTCTACGTTTAAATGTCACTACCCGCCCGAACCTTTATCAAACTTTACATTTAGTCTTTAACTTCAGTAATGCTTATGCTTTCTCTTTAGTCTAACGTGCCTAACGAGAAAGCTCTCGAACGACGTGCCTTCGCTTACTCAAATATACCGGAGAAATATCAAAATGCACTTGACGATTACGAGAAATTGAAAGTAAGTCAGTCCATTCCCAGAAACAGAGAACTCGCCAAACGTGACAGCATGGGAGGCTGAGACGACTGTGCAGCTTATGACCTTGCAAAAGCTTGGATTGGACGCGCTAAGATATTTTCTCAGTGCTCATCGAAACAGCATGCGCTGCTTTTCAAATATTCAAGAAGCGTTTTGAATAAGGAAACCGATAAGAGTGTTTCAAAGCATGCCATTGTTGGTTCTGCTTGAGGCATGGTCGTAGTCGATCTGTCACGGAACCTAAGCTTAGGTGACTACAATTTGTCGTAGTTGTCTACTAGCATGTCATGTCCTGGACTGTCACTTCGATCTATTTTCAGGAGCAATTTCCTCAACGAACTCAATATGAGGTAAAAATCCGCGATTTACGGAAGAAAATCGAAATACGAAATGAAGAGATGAAAAACGAAATGATCGCAAAATTGAAACAGCTTGGTAGCCCCACTATTTTGCTTGCACTTCTAGCACCACTTTCTGATAAAACACTTCAGGTGATGTATGTTTGCGTCCGTTCGGTCTATCTACTGATAGTTTTCAACTGACGCCAAATGCAGAAGGAGGTTATAGCATTTCCATGAAGAATAGCGGGGAGCAACAAGAAAAACAACAAGATGCTACATAGTCTCTTCTACACCCAAATGATAATAACTGCTTGAGCAGCGCACCCACATGTTCCCTAACATACTTTGTCAAACTTCTCTACTTCATCTCGTAATGCTGGTTGTCCTTTATTCTACACATTACCCCTATATAAACTATTTTTACCAACAGTATTTCATGATCGACTCTGGTATCCATTTGTCATAGAATTTAGGTGCCGCATACTCTGAATGATGACGCCACGTATGTTCTCTGTAGAACACATCCCTCTTTGAGTGTGCGAACACCTGAATAACAGTACTCGTTGAAAAACATGAAAGGTAGTTAAGCAGACCTCGTCTTGCATAGGATCCCACCATTTATCACCAAGAGTGAAATACACTGGTTCACCATACCAAGTTCCTAAAATGTGCTATTATCAAATGTCAAACGCTCTCAGGCTGGCGTCAGGATATAAGTAAACATAGTACAATTTCAAAGATGTTTTGGATGCTGAGACAACCCAAAAAGTTCGAAAAAGGGAAGAGACTGCAAACATGACATTAGAGCTGCACGGGCGGCAAGTAAGGCTATGATTTTATGTACTTGCGACTATCTTCCTGTTTAACAAATGATTTTTAAAAAAGGGCGATTTGTCAGCACGACGTTGGAGGGAAAGGGGTGTTGCAATTTTCTTCCAGTAAATTCCGGAAAGAGAATTTCAAAGCAACATCAAGAGGTATTTTGTTGATGCAGAAGAAGCTACACGGAAACGGGAAACGAGTAATGGCTGATAGTTGTAAGCAAGTTAGAAAGAGGTTGTATATAACATGTGGCAGAATCCAAAAAGAGAAAGAGTCTGATGTTCAAGAACCTTAGGAATGCGAAGGAAATGATGATCTAATCAAAGAAGGAGAAGCAAAAGAAGCACATGTGTTTCAGTTCTTATCACATCAGCTTGACTTAGAAAATATGCTAGTTAAAGGTCAACAGCTAGCCACATGCACATGAGAATAAGTGTTGCGTTAAATTGTGTAGGTTAACCCTGAAATCACTAAAGCAGGAAGAGCAAAGAAGCATGAAATACTTTGCCCTTATCTGGACCACATTTTTCAACAAATTAGTGTTATTTCTGTTCTATCCTGCAAAGAAGAGTTTATTTTGAGACAACCGGTTTCTAAAAGAACATTGACGAACCATGTTGAACAGATAGGAAAGCCATCTCTTGTGAGTGTATTTCAAGAGGCGCGGTTTTTAATGCCAAATGGACACCAAATAGCATATAATTGTTTTCCGACTTTCTAAAAGTACTCAAATTTTGAAAGGAGATGTATCAGATGGCTGCATGGGTTGTTCAATCTCAATACCTTAAAATCGGTTCAAAATAGCAACTATGAAAATCAAAAACCCATGAAAATGCAGTTGAGAACAAATTCGTAAATATTTCTGTCCATTTTCCAGCAAAAGCCACCAAACACAGCAGTCAGTAATGTCAGACAGATAGTGAGCTAATGCACTTCAAGTGATACTTCTTGAAGGCTCGCACAGCACTAAAGGAGTTTTAAGCTAATGACATCCGGAGAAATCGCGCCTCTTGACCGTCTCCCATCTCTTGTGGCCAAAGAAAATGGCGTCAGGTCGAAACTGTAGTGTCTTTTGCGAAGAGATTAACTCAACAATTGCTCCAGATATGGGAGAGTTCACCTCATGCTTGTCCCCCATGTAGACAAAATTGCTTCCAAAAATATACCAGTATAATTGAAAGAGAGAATAGACAAAACCGCAAAAAAAACGACAACAAAAAGTGAATGAAAGCCTTTCAAAAAAGATTACCTGTTTTCCAGCCTGGCACATCTTTCATGACTTCTTCCTCTAATTCCCTATTCTTCTTCAAGAGTTTAAGCCAACTTAAACAGTATTTTTACAAAGGTCAAAAGGTTTGTAGTACGTCCTTACTATCGGTCACGTTCGGCAGTGAGGAAAGGCTGCATAGCATTGTTGATGTCGACGTCCTCAAACTTCTCTGTCCTAGAAAATAACTTTTTAAAATATCACGTGGGAGAAGAATAAACTGCACTCACACCCTCGCTCTCTTCTTGGCGAGAGCATCAAAAGCACCATAGACAGAAGCACCGAAAACGGCTGCTACCACGACTCCCGCTGAAAATGCTCAGCACCAAGGTGATGTGTTGCGACAAGCACCCCTATAAGCTTCAGCAAAACTTACGCCTCCACACAAGTTTCGGAAATGTTCGTCCATAGTTGAATTTCCGATAGCCGCCCGGAGGCGGCATTTCTTGCCGGAAGCCGCTTTCGGCCATCTAAAATCAATAACCGCGCATTACTGTTACGTGAAATTACCGAGAGAATTCAAAAAGAGGAAAGCACACTTCAGCAGAACAACAAAAAGCCCATACTGCACTGAAGCTCATTGCCGTCAAAATCCGTGCAAATCTGTGCAGTTTTTGCACCAGCGCAGAGGTACAGTAGGTACAAATAGCTGCAGCTGCAGATCTTTGGTGACAGATGAAGACGGGAGCCGGTAGTTGGGTAGGGATAAGTGGGGTGCCTGGCTCTTCCATTAAGAAAAGGGAGAAGGAGTCTAACAACTGCCACTGGGACCTTTTAAAGGTCAGCCAAACATCTTACAGGGAAAGGATACTATACTTGGTGACCATGGCCTTTTGGAATGAAACGTACACCATGAAAGGGGTTATGAACATTTCTTGTCACCAAAATCTGCACTTTTTTGATGCAGGATTCGCCCGTTAGAATGTTCGCTTACGCACTACAAAAGAACGTACAGATAAACTAAAGCTTTACATTAAGCTCAGGAAAACTGTCACAGATAGACCAGAGTCTAAAAAGCCTGGATACTGACAATTTTGACTGCGTAAATCTCGTAAGATCAATATGGGAAGAAGTCCATATTTATGTTCAGAAAGTCGCACAGCAGGTAGTAAACATAGATATAGAATCAGCGTTCCAAGACGCACCTACTACATCTCATTGCAAAAGGCCACGGTCACCAAGTATCCTTCCCTCGTTAGCTTATTATTGGTAAATTTTACGACTTTCACTGTGAAACTGGTGAAAATACTGATCTAATGGCTCTGGAATTGATTTTGGAAAGCTTACTTCTTATTTTCACAACTCAAAACGATCGTTCCTTACGAATTTTGGTATCTAGAGAAGAAAGCTTTCTGTTACACCCGCTCATAACTTCCAGAGTTTTTAACGCAGTAAGATATGTTTTTTTTACTGACGAGTGAATAATGTTTATAGAATATTGAGAAAAAACTTTGAGGCAATCTCCAATCTTTTTAATAACAATTTTACATAGTTGTTTCGTTATGTTCAGCTGAAGGTATATAGTCTAGAAATTTGTTTGTCAGTTCTATTGTGTTCAGTTTGTTTGACATGGTCTTTTTGGTTTTATCATGGCGACTTTCCTACATAATAAATAATGAAAAAACTGCGAGAAATTTGTCCATCGCCAATCCGACAAACACCCTGTGCTGTGTAGCTTCCAGACTTGACGTTGTTGTAGGGGCCTGTCGCGCGATTCAAAAAGATGATAAGCTTGTCTCATAGTAGGTTGCGCAGTACCATGAAGTCTCCTCCAGAAATCTTTCAACCCTTCTGGAGAGATGAATGGCCTGATTTGCTCTGATTGATGGACGCATCTGCAAAACTCTTGATGATAGCACAATTATAGATTTGCATTTTCTGAAAAAATACTGTTGGAAAAGCTTTGCTTGACAAGACAGTCTGTCATTTTTCATCATTCAAATCTAGAAATTTGTTTGACGCGGTAGATGTTCGGTTGAGATGGCCTTCGCAGAAAATGAGAAAAATTCGCTGTGCCCATTCACTACGTGACTCCCATTTAAACTCACGTTTACTGCGATTGAACGTTCCCGATTTCAAAGGAGAGAGACCAGGGTTGCCCTTGGCGGTTTTGTCAGATGACAACAGTTCGCCGTACACGCCTCGATCAGCTAGAGTTGCTGTAACAATGACGACAACCTGACCGCAAAGGCATATGCGCACAATCAAAACGTTTTCGATCTTCGGCATTTGCCATTTCTTACCTACGGCAAAATTATTTCTGATCCTATTCAAATGCGACCATAGCCAATAATCAACTCTTATTATCGTTGGTCCAAGAGTTCGTTCTCCATTTTTCAAAAATCACAGCTTCCTTCTAGCCTCTTGGACTTGCTTTTCATAAATCCTTGTTAGAATAAGGACACCACATATCTAATGGCTGCTTGGATGTCTCCTTCCAAGCACAGGTGGCAGAGATAAATATGCTAGAAGAAGATCACACACAGATCACAGAAGATCACGTTTTGGTGAGTTCAAGCAAGCTCACCAAGAATGAAACGAACTGAAGCAACATAATTTTTCCATTTTTCGTTGTAAAAATTCGTGCTGATCGAGAGTTCCCAGAAAAAGTTATGACTTCAGAAACAAGAAAGAGATAGTTTTCTCATATTTCTCCAATCATAACTTTCAATAAAAACAATAATCATCACACATTTTACTCGCATAGAAAGAGGAGGACACATAGGTCAACTTGCTTTGAGCAATCGGGATGTTTTTTCTAGCATTTTTATCTCTGCTCCAGCGTCTAGAAGGAAGCTCAAGTTATGCTCAGAAACTATACATAATTTCCGCATACAAAGAAAATTTAAGCCGAGGAAATCTTTTCAGGTTGAAGGAAGCTACGATTTTTCAGAAATGGTGACAAACTCTTGGACCAGCCTAAGTTCTGTTACTTCCTAATAATTGTGCATGAGAGGGACACCCCATGAAAAAATCCCACGTGAACTTGATGATTTGATGTAAATTTGCAGAAGTTAGAGAACCTACATTTGCACTTCTATAGAAAATTAAATGCTAAAAATTTCACCGATCTCCAGGATTTTGCGAAAAATTATTTTTCTCTAGAAGTAATTGATTCTATGCTGTAATTGCTTTCTACCAATTGATGTCTTCGTTGCAATCATTTTCATTTGTTATCGTTTGTTTCACAAAAAATCAATTTATTGTTGCTCACAGATGGTGTACCTATCCCTATCGGTGCTATTAGTGTGTCTCTCACTCGTGAATGGTCTCGATGATTTTGAGAAACGAAAAAAATTCCATGGTGGGTTTCAAATTTCAGTAATCAAAAACAATACAACAATATTTTACTTGCTTTTCTAGTCCTAGTAGGCATTTTTAAAGAAATGTGAGCTTGAAGAAACTTGTTCCAGACCGACAATGCCAACTAACCCCTTCTCTACCAAGTTGTACCACGCCCTATACGTTGGCAGTTTTCAAACGAGAAGCTATAGTGCAAAGCAAAAATAGTAATAAACAAAAATTATCCAAAGCTATGGGAGTAAAAGTACGTCTAAACAAGCGGGGTTGATTACCCTCATGATCAGAGAATATTTAGAGAACCGTAAGGCGCAGCTCTTGGCATGACGATTCTGATGAAGACTACGAGTTTTATCTATGGAAAAAATATCGTCGAGAGAAGCTGAGACGACGGCTTCTTCAGAATGCAGGGTTTGTACCTATATGCTAATATTGTGGAATTAGTAGCTTTGATTTTCCAGGGATTCTTCCGAATCTGTCCAGTATCATTACCATAACTATAACAATCCATATTCAAGCGGATACAGAGCGTATCCGTATACCGGATATTACAGGCCCTCCTACTATGGGCAACAGTATGGGTAAGTGAACTAGATGCAGGCTAACAGACATAGAGACACTTCTTCGCTTTTCACTACAGTCTCATAACGTAAATCTGTCCTGAACCACAATTTCTAACCACTGCGAGTAATTTACCCCCATCAAATGACCTTGACGATTCGCTAAACTTACCCTGGTTCCATGTGATACACATATTTGTAAACATAAACTCAGCCATTCGGGTTTTTTGTTTGCATTTTTCTTTGAAGAGGAGTATTCCTTTTGCATCAACCAATTCTATTTAGAGTTGGCTGTTGCAAAAGGAATACTCCTCTTCAAGGAAAAAATTAGAGTTGGAATCTAAATTCAGAGTTAGATGACTTCGCGTTGGGGAGATTGCTTTTTTACAGCGAACATAACAGAAAGTGGGATCCGCCGTCTAGTCTGTTCGCAAAGACGTGAATACTCCCGATTCATTTTCATCATTGAAAAACTTTGAACTAACAGTTGCATTAATCGTTAATCGTTTCCGCGCACTGTTTAAGGAGCCATTAGTTGCCTTTCTAATCGTGCTACGTTCGCAGCATTTCAATGCAACACATGCAATTTTCTTTCAAGAAACATGGACCTCGAACACTTCAAGAATTTTCGCGCCTTCTTTACAGAAGAAAATAGGTTCCTGCGGTGCTTTTTAACGCAACAAAAACTTCAGGAAGAAACTGAAGCAATAAAAAATTAACAGTAAAGCCCGCTGTCTCGGTTTATTCAGTCCGGTTCAATATAAATTGTTAACCATTTTGAAACGACTGAGAAAATATGGAAAATAAAACAGTATCTTTTTTGATAAATGTACTTGCCAGAACGTCTGCTACATTTCAAGCACCAAAAAACTACGCTGTTGAAGATTTTTTTAAAACTTGCATTAACATTCTCTAGAAAGGATATGAAAGGTATGAATTCAGCTATCCATACAGCGGATACGGATACGGCGGTGGGTATCCTTCCTATGGCAGCGGCTACGGTGGATATGGAGGGGGATTTGGAGGCGGTCTGTTCTCACTGGGAGCCGGACGACAACTTGGTATCTCAACGCCTATTGGTGGATTTGGTTACAGTAGTGGATTTGGCATAGGCATTGGCTGAATGACCTCAACTATTACACATGCATATTGAAGAGCTTTGTTCACATGTACGTATTTTACCATCAGAACTTGTATCAATCATAATGTACAACTTATAAACATGATAAAATGTGTAATCAGCAGAGGTGAAAAAGGAGCCATGGAGGACACGAGTGCCGCATAACAAAATGTAAGTAGTCAACCTTGTGAGTAAAGTGAGACTTCTTCGATAAGTACACAACCAACATCGGAGAAAACAAGCAGTGCCAAATATTAGGACGGTCAATGAGCAAGTTTGAGATTGATTAGGAGCAGAACGGAAAAAGAAAAACAGCATACTCAAGAAGCATCAAAATGATATAAGACAAAAACTGATAGATCCAGCAAGGCAGTGGGATGAGACCATGATTGAGATGAAAACACATGCTAACGAGAAAAATGATTCGCAGACAACAAGGCACTCTACGAAGCTGACTCTTCTTCACGATTTTCGTATTTCAGAAAAGCATAATAGTCGATAAGTATTCCCAAAGCAGTATCTGCCATCCGACTGGCAATCACTTCATCGACTGTGATCCTGAAATTCGTGATTTTACCGGCTTCACCACAATCCTGTTTCAAAAAAAGACGGGTTTCACGGTTTATCGATCAGTTGCTCTCCCAATCAGTGAACCTTCCCAAAAAAACTTACAGATTTGGATTATGTGGATTTATCATATCGATCACTTCGTCAACTATATCATCAGGGTTGAAGTTGGCCCATCCCTCCACTTTGGCTAGATTTGTTACCATACTCTCAGTCTAAATTTGCTAACTTAATTTTCAAAAACGTGACAGTACAATTCCTACCATCATTCGAATTTCATCGCGATCCAAAAATCCGTCATCTTTGAGATCAAGAACTCGAAAAAGCCACTTGATTGCTGCTGTTTCCTGTAACAGTTCTTGCTTTTTGCGCATAATGAGATCACTCAAAGTATTTACCTTTCTGGTATTGACAGCCGCGTCTAATTCGACAAACCCTCGGAAGTCCATCTCCATTGCTTTCGGGTCATCACCATACAGCATTTGAGTGGCGAACACTCGCTCCAGAAACAATGGTGTGAAGGCCCCGCTAAAATCACAGTCAAGTTAAAATCACGCTTTCTTTCGAGGGACAGAATTTTCGACGATAGAAAAATTCTGTTTCCGAGGGAGGTAGAAAAGCATTCTTCGTCATGATTATATCTTCGCAACTGTTCATCCGAGGTTATCCCGGAATAACCCAAAGCTCATCCCAGTTTGGACACATCGAAAGTTGCGATTTCATCCACTGATAAATCTTGTCGTAGATTTTCGATGATATCTATCCCCTTACTCTTTCAAGTAGCGGCACTCCTCCAACGACACCATACCGGACCAATCTCTATCACAATGTCGAAATTGTTCAAGAATCCTCCAAAAATTGTTCACAGAGCACCTAAAATTTGTATACTGACAGAGCGAAGCGTTTTTTCCTCAACTCACCAAGACAGCTGCGAAATGTCCCATGTCTGCTCCGTATTTTCCTGACTCTGTTCATACAGTACATCAAAAAGATCGTCAAGAAGTCGTGTAGCCATAAGATCCTAACAATCAGGAGTTCCAGAAAGCAGAAACTCAAACCCAAACTCAAAAAGCCATAAAAAACCATCGACTTAGCCCTACTACTCACTTGTATAGATACTTTTCCGGATCTCTGAGGATCGAGATGCAGGAAGACATAGCGCTCAACGAATATTGCGTAATAGTAAGGAGTATCTTTCATGCTCTAGAATAAATCATAATGCCTGATGCAGCCAGAAAGACTAAGGAACAAACATCTTTCCAAGCGAACTTGCCCGAAATTTCGCTCATAACCAGTTCCACGAATTCCTAAAAAACATTTGTGCTAGAGAGTTACTGAAGCACTTTTACAAGACAAAAATTAGGTAGAACAAAGATTTTCAATTAAATTCATATCGAGCAGTGATGCAAGCTCACAGATAAGCTACTAAATGTCAATTTTTTGCATTCTGACAGACAAAAACCTACACTGAACCACTTTGACCAATAGGTGCCAGTGGCTACCGAGGATTTCTTGGGGGGAGAAAGGGAGGGGGGGGGGGGGGAGCGAAGGGAGAGGGAGAGAGGGGGATAGAAAAAAATTGTGGATGAAGGTGCGTAGCATTGGTGTGAACTCCAAAGAAATTTTTGGAGTTTCTAAAATTTCTGCGGGCCCACAACCCCGCGCCCTCGAAGGAAATCAAGTTTTCCATCTTTAGACAAAGTTCGAGAACTCGTAAAATCAAGAAAGGGGAATCAAAACTCGAAATTTGAAAAATGAGATCTCGAACGAATACTATTCAAATGTTTGGATTCATATTCGGATAAAATTCGTATTCGAATTAATCGGGTGGTGCATAGCCAAATCGACCGAACCGGATTTGTCAGGGGTTATCCTATAATATTAGGTTGGCGGATAATTTCTGTTACACTTTTATTTTTATTTTTCAAAAATCTAAAAAACATCCGAAAATTCTTATATTTAACGAGTATTGGCGGGGTGCAAAGGTCTACCCGCCGGTACTGTCAGATCCGCAATCCGCAGATTCAATTAAAACATCCACTTTTTCGGTGGGAGTACGTTCTATGGACATTTTTGTCAGCAGGCTGGCATTTTTCCAGATGATTGGGAAAAGACCGGGCAATGTGGTACTTGGGCAGGGTATGGCCCATAGTTTTCAGCGAACATAGGGGAATGGCACACACATGTCCGCACACGATCACATGAGCTACATGTTGCGCCATGTCAGCGCACATTGGCATTTTGACATGAAGAACCATCTTTAAAAATTTACAAAAACTGTTTCCAACCTTTCCGTATCAAATCCTACACGATGCACACAAAAAGAAAAATTTTCGGCGGATTTTTGATTTAAGTTGTTTTTCACCCCTTGTTTTTGGCGTTCGTGCGGCATAAAAGTGCTACCAAAAAAAAAGACGATGCAAAAATATGTTCTAAAAAAATTATGGGAGAGAAAAAAACAGGATTCGACGCAGAGAAAAAATCAAAGAAAAAATGACAACTTTGAGTGTGCTTATAAAATTGTCGTGAAGTTGCTGGCAATGCATTTGCGGCATCATTCATACTGTTGTGAACACCTTGCCGTGGCCTACATATGGACAAACTTTGAAGATTCTAGAGAACTTCTGGGACTTTTCAGATACAAAAGAATTGTAACAGAAATTACCCGCCACTCTGATAGATACTCGGGTAAATCATCCGGATATTTGTTCGAAATTCAAATCTCATTTGAAGTAATTGAACAATATTCGTTCATTCGAAATTTCTGTTTCTCACATTTTATTCGGTGTTCGTTTATTCGAACATTTTAGATTTCGGAGTTGGTCGATATTCGGTTATCCGATGCTGTTGATTTTCGAATATCATTCAAATATTCCAAGTTCTCAGTTCCTGAATCTTGGCATGGTGAATATTCGCGTATGCTATGTTTCAGCAACAACCAAGATTTTCCTAATCCTTTATTGGCTTAAGGCGATTTCGCCTTCGCCAGAGCCTGTAAAGTCAAGATTTGCGTAATCTCTACTCAACCTGGTTTTATTGACATCTGAGAGTAGAGATTACGTAAATCTTGACTTTACAGGCTCTGACGAAGGCGAAATCGCCGAAACGTTAGCCAATAAAGGATTAATAAAATCTTGGTTGTTGCTGAAACATAGCAAACACGAACATTCAATATTCGTTCACTGGATTTGAATTATCGAATTTACTCAAAATTCATTATCGAAAGTAAAATTACTCAAGATTCATTTTGAAACTTGATTACCGCAGCAGCCGACTCTAATCACTATCCTCCATGCTTAGCACTGCTGGTTCTAAATGTTTTTTTACTCTAAAGAAAGAAAATAGCAAAGAAAACACGATTGGCAGCTGCAAATTATCGGGGAAATCGCACAAAAAGTTGATAAACGCGGCTTACAACATGCGCTACTGATATGCTTATGGCGAAAGTGGGAGAGAACAGATAGATAGATCGCGATCCATATCTTTGTGCCCCCAGGACATGAAGGGGTTTTCTTTCGATAAGTAAGGATGACTCACGTTAGAAGTGATAAAATCAATCGACTTGGCACAACTGCGCACGAGCAACTGTTGTTGCGACCTTCTGCAACATGCGCGAACAAAATTGCCTAAAAGGAAATTTACTTGATCCTCAGGCATCGTGAGCAACTTCTACCATACCTAACAGTTGGCACGAGATACAGTTCCCTGATTTACTAGCTGAAGTCAATTCTCTAACTGCGGATGCACTGAAACATTTCCGTATTGCTTTCGGGGATCGCGACAGCACTGACTGGAAGTGAGCGAACATCAGGCGTATGAAGCAAATGCTCCTAAGAACTGACATATAATGAAGATACGGTTACTACATCGCCAAAGGACTCGCTCATTCTTGCAGAGCGCGTAAGTTCAGTTGTAAATGCCTGAAGCACGGATGATACAGTGGCCTGAAGGTACGAAGGTGGAACTACCAAGATTTCTTTAGTGCTGATCAGATCCCTTGAATTTCGGATGATGACGCGCCGATTGGCTGATTCTCGAACTAGATCACCGATCCCCGTCAGCTTATGTACGAGGTTAGGAAATACGTCTAAATCATTCTCGAGCTCCTGAAAAGCAATTTTTTCAAGTTATTCGCTTTTCAAAATCTAGTACCTTCTGAAGCAAATCCTTTATTCGCATAGCATCTCCTCCTTCCGGCAATGTAGTTGAAAGCTGTTCCACTTCATCAGTGACTCTAAATGCCCAACAACTGCTCTATTCTCAATAAGTCAAGGCAAAAAAATCATTGAAAAAACTCACGCAGAACTTGGCAAGGGTGAGTGCGTCATTCACTAAACTTTGAGTTTTTGAATATGCGTATCCCAAACAAAATTCCAGTTTCGTAAACAAAATAGACATGATTTGTACATGAAACTCTTTGATCTCAACACGGATGGAATGTTTTTATAGGCGAGGTAATGAAGAAGAAAATACATACACCGGTTGTCATGTACTTCACATAGGTATATCTTGAGATAACATACAGCTTTATCAATTCAATAAGTAGTTCAGATCATTCAGATTCATTCCAGATGGCACGCGCTTCATCTTCAGAATATTCAGACGCAGAGCATTCGGTATTCGAGATCAAGAAAAGTGACGACTCTAAAAATAATTAGAGATGCTTCGATCAGTATGATGTCAATATCAGTCTCGCTTCCCAGTAGACAGTAAATGATTACCATTGATGATTACCAAAATGAACTTCTCCAGACTGCAACTTATCGTTAGCCTTCGCCATGGTCTTCATTATTATCGACAACAAGATTCAAAGGAGAATACGCTGTACCTAGCTTTGATCAGTATGATCACCGTGACTTGAAGAAGTAGCGAATAGGATTTACTCATTCTTGAGGGATCATTCATACCGCGCACAAAGGCGGACGAAGCCGGACGAAGGCGCGTCTTGTCTCGTCTCGTTTCTCTCGACACACACACACTCACATATGCCTTCGTCCGCCTTTGTGCGGCTTCGTCCGCCTTCGTCCGGCTTTGTCCGGCTTCGTCCGCCTTTGTGCGCGGTATGAACGATCCCTAAGATAAAAGCTTTGGCTTTGGCATGGCGAGTTTCAGAACAAAATCAAGATGTAGTAACGATTAGTTGCATGATTAAAGGCAGCGTCCAGGCAGATCTGGACCTACGCGGTTTTTAAATGGAAGTACTTTTAGGGCCCTAACTAAGGCACTACCCAAGCGGCAGCGCAGGTAGTGCTCCAACGACTGAGATATCCTCCTCGAAACTGGACCCCGCGATCGTATTCGCATGGATTCATGGCAGTTTCGCGCCAGGATCCACGCTTTGCGCCATGATTCCATGCGAAATACGATCGCGGAGTCCAGTTTCGAGGGGAATATCTCAACCGTTAAAGCACTTCGTGAGCTGCCGGTTGGGCAGTGGCTTATTCAGGGCCCCAAAATTACTATCCACGTGAGATCCATGTGTGAAGACTTGCCTGGACGCTGCCTTTAAAGTAAGCGATAAGAATTTTAGGCGTAGCTTTGCCATGCACTCCGAAAATTTCGAGGATGCCTTTTGGACTTTCTTGCGGGATCATGACCAGGAAATTCTGAAAAAGACGCCACGCCCATAAAAACATATTCTTACTAGGCTTATATGGGTTTTGGGGAACTTTTGAATAAAAATTCGAATATTCACAATTAGAAACAAGTCGCTTGCACGATTTAAACCCATGCAGGCTGCTCTATGATTCATCCCTCCCCCTCTCCTCGGTATGCCACCAATCTTTAGCTAATAAAGGAGGGTTTGATCTCAAGAAGTTCACTTTTTATAATGAAAAAAGCACAGTGTATAAGGGCACAGGCCGACAATATCTGTCTTCTACGCTCATGAGCCCAGAGAGCTTTGTATAGCCGCGCGGCTGTGGTTGATGTCCCTTCTTTGTAAACTTGGCCTTCAGAAGCCACATTACGCAGCACATCGTAGGCGGTCAAGGGTTGTGATGTTTGCATTAAAGCCACGCCACTCTCAGTTCTACGTGAACCCCGAGTTTGCAGTAAAAAGATGCTCTGAATCGGTCCCTTGTGCTACCCATATAAAAGTCCATGGCTCACTCGTAGCGCAATATTGTGCCCATTCCGGGAATTGCGTTTTCGAGTTCATCAGCCACTCGTTAAACTCGGTTGGTCGATCGAATTCCACAGCTAGAGTACGAAGAGAGATCAGACGTGCATGAGCAATCTGTAAATCTTACAATTAGCAATTCCGATCACACCAAAACAGCGGCATACCGGGTATAGCTGTTCCGCCTCTTCATCCTCTGCTGCCGTCATCACCGACACTTCTTCAAGAAGTGACTCCATATGATATTCGAAGTTATCCTCTAATTGGCTACGGGCGCGATCGATATATTTACCATGTGCCGGTTTCTTAACAGAGGAAAATTTCTTAAGAGCACATTGCGAGACAGAGGTAGAGCTAGAGATGAGCTAATTTGGTGGTGATATGATTGAGGGAAGTAGCAGAAGAGTGAGATATGACTTCGGATGATTAGAATCGAAGTAAAGTGGTATAGTGGAATTACACAAGTCACGGAATGATAACAACTAACCTTCACGTCTTTCTTTGTTTTCACTTCAACCTCATCTTTCTGTGTTGCTTCCAATTCAGCCAACCATTCAGAAATATCCTCTTGTCGAATTTCTTGTTTCGGTCGTTTCATCTTCACAACTTCTTGTAAGTTGAAACCATTTTCGTCATTTTGCATCGCGTCTAATACATGTCTATAATCTCATCATATTACGAAAGGCGCTTCCTCAAAAAGACTCACTGCGCCTTTTCCAGTATTTTTGGATCAGGTTCCAACCCTCTCTTCAAAAAGGAGGAGGGTGCAATAAGTTCACTGATTTTCTTATCGTCACCTAAATATTACCAGATGACTAAATATAAAATTCGTGAGGAAAATGCAACGGAAAGAGAAGTACCACTGTTGTAAGCGTTGAGAGCCTTCAATTTCATGGCAGTACACTGACGTTGAAAGAAAGGGTTCGGAATATTTTCCGGCTCAAGCGATCTCAAATTTGCACTATCAAGAGAAAAGTCACCCGAATCTATATAAAAAATTACCCTTTCTCGGTGCCAAATGGCATAGCATCGATCAATTCATCAACCAGATTCAGCTGATTATCTGAACAGGGGTAGCTGGGATACTAGCTAGACAGCAAGAACAGAGGGTGTTCTTTTCCATAATCAAAGCATACAAAATTTTACTCCTACTACTATACACTGGGTCGTTACATGAGCATTGTTACAATCTTCGTTCTTATCTAATAAATTACGGCGAATTCGGCAAAGCTTCTTTCCGGCATAGAATGGGAAAGGGGAAGGGTTGACATTTGACAGCATTTTCGCCTGTCATGACGGTAAAAAATTAAAAGTGATTCTTTATCTGCAGTTCGATCATTTTTCTTCACTTCCCAGAAATTTTCTATTCTCTCTTTCATCTTCTTAGATATTTTCCTAAACTTCCGAGAGCATAAGTAGTAATGCGAAGTATTAGGTTATAACAGAATTAATGCAGGTTTTTCACACCCCTTTTTCAAAGTGCTGGTTCAAAATAGAATTCCATTGTATTAGAAAACTAAGCATATCAACTGTAAGCCCTCTTCTCCTAGTATCTTGGAAATGCTTTCATTTTGAAAGGAATGGATTCATATGGAAATTACGTTTTTTTAAATCAAGAGGCTAAACCTTGAAATTTTTTCTTTTGAAGTTTTTGCGTTAAATTCACCGCGAAAAACTGGAAATTTTTGCAAAATGGCATAATGCTTATATGTGCCCTACACTACAAGAGCACGTTAGAGCAGAATTTTCAAGTTTCTAGACTGAGAAATTTCATTTCAAACCGAAGCAACCGTTGCTGTCATTTTGCGGCGTATAAAAATTCTAAAGATAGGGCAATTGCAGAGCTTTTATCATATGCAGAAACAGTAGACATAGTACATTTGATAGCAAAAAACCGAAAGCTGTTGTTCTCCTTGGCGGCAAAAAAATCAAGAAAGCAGCAAAGAACGAATTTTTCGCCTTTTCAGAGCAATTGCTAAGAATGACTGGTCACAAATTTTTTGCAATATTTTCTGCCACAAATTTTCTCAAAAAATTCGAGCTTAACGCTGCTGCACAACCGGATATTGTCTACACAATGAGTGAAGTTTACATCATCCAACTAGATTGTGTAGTAAGTTATAGTCTCTCAAATTAAAGGTTTTTCAAGAAAACTTTTGGCAGTCTTAGGGTTATAAATTTTCTCAGTGAAGCTATCACGGCATAATAGTGTGTACTAAATTGCGAAAGGTTTGCTGATTACAGTAGTTTCTATTGGAAACGGATTGACTATTTCTGTGAAAACTTATAATAATCCAAACTCAAAATTTGGAAAACCTGCAATAATTCTGTTACAACCTAATAGTTCGAAAGTTTTAAGCTCTTGAAAAACACAACTAAAATTATGGAAAATAATTCAAGACTTTCGAGTTCGAAATATTATTTCTACATGACATGTATATCAAGAAAAAATTGCACATCAAGAATCCACGACATCCAGTTTATGAAGGAAAAATCGTTCAAAGAAGTTACAAGGATTTTTTTCTATTGGGCGTGACAAAACTCATGTAATAACCTAAAACTATGCTCTGACACACACACACAAGTTACAAAGAGCACGTGATAATAATGTAATCAAAAAAGCGAATGAAAGATGTTCACATACGCGTTGGTTTAGGACACGTTGCATCCAGGTTAATGAAGTTGAAGGGACGCATATCCTCTGCGAAGGGAAGGCGCAAAGCTTGTAGATACTGCAATAGAAAACTTCGAGGAAAGAAAGTGTGATAAAACAGGGAGAGGTGTAGTGTGTGGTGTACAAACAGGGAGATCAAGTTCTTCGTCCTTGTGCGGTATAAGGGCAATGAGTTGCAGATGTTTAGCAGCATCAGGGGCATATCGACAGATAGCGACTACATTATTTTCCAGCATAGCAGATATCAACGATAATGTCGTTCGCATAGCCTCCTGGAGAAAAGGAGTTGTGTTACTATTATACGTGTGTGAAACTTGCAATCAAGAAAAAAGTTCTGCATACCAAATCTCGTTCCGATGTTTTCTTCTCCCAGCCAGGAACAACAACAAATGAGTTGCGGCCTATGAAATAGCAATCCTTGAGCTGCAAAGTCATACTACTAACTCAACACTATCGTGACAACCTCAGACTTGCTCGGGAAAAAGGTGAAAAAACTATGAGTTTAGAATGGCAAACTCGGAAAAAAACTAACATTTTCCTTCTTCGTGAATTGGATGAGTTTCATACATCCTCGTGGTTCGCCCTCGTTAAAGTTGTGGTTATGATATCGTTCCTCATCGTCTTCTCCTATTGGTACTTTAGTATCACCAAAGTAGTGAACTGCAAAGAAACCAGCATCATTAGGAAAGCAAGGACCATACTTGTGACTTCTAACTTCTCACAGCCTTAATAGCCTTAATAGTGAAAAATTGTAGATTTAAAGAAAAGCTAAAAATAATGTATAGTGAAGCTGAAAAGGTTGTGATTGTTAAATTAAAAATATACCTTGCAACCTCTGCTCTTTTGCGGTAAGCTCCTTAACTTCTGTCGCAAAATCTCCGCTGCTATCGGCAGTTTTTATATTAGCCATGAATCGAGACTGTCGATGCATCTACAACAGTTTCTCACATGAGTGATGGCACACATTGATAACTGTTAAGGATACGGACCTCGGCTCCGTGCTCATCCACAAGAACACTTCTGAGCGGATTTTTCGCCGGAACAGATTTCGTGTACATCGCCAGGGGCAGTCGAATACCCGGTGCAATCTCCCAGTTTTTTCTGATTGCACGGCTATCGACATGAGGTGTGGTGAAGTGGTGAAGAGCAGTAGCAGCATCCCCGAAACAAATTAATGCTTTTGATAGGAACAAGAAGTCGACTCAAGTAAAACAAAGATCTTATGAGGATATTGCTACTGCGAAATCTTGAGGCACTGAAACAATATGTACCCTCGAGAAAAAAATCGTGGGATTTCACCTACAAAAGCAAAAGATGTCTTGAGCGCTATGCCTTTGAAGTCCCTAAGAGCATCTAACCATCTCAAGTTGGTATTGAACTATTAGCGATGACGGCCCAAGATGGCAATCAAATGCCAGCTGGTGCAGAAAAGGGATCTCGTGTTATGTGTGGCCAGCTATGCTGACATCACGCAGATAGTTTATATGCTCCTGAGGTAATTTTAAGACACCAGCGTTTGAAAAATTCTTTCGAGAAAATGAAAAAGGCCTAGATGTCCCCATATTATACTGACAAGGGAGGGTCACTATCGATGTGGCGGACCACAAAACTGCATACCATCAGCGAGAGCTTCAAACGCAAATTCTAAATCTGCTTTCCTTATCTGCAGAGCACCTTTGTAAAAGAAGCTATGAGCTTTTTTTAAGCGAAAAAATAAACAGATGGCCGCGATAACATCAGTCGTTACCTTCCTAGACGTAAAATGGAGAATGAGAAAGGTACGATACACTGGAGAGACGGAGTTTTTTGTACAAAGGATTCCGAGCTTCGCCGCTGCTTCATTTAAGCTCTAGACAAGCTGTAGCGATTAATTCTATCCCGATCATTAGATCCTTTTTTAATTCTAAAAATGCTCATAACTTCCATCACAAAGGCGCTCTACAGGTAGCGAAAGCAGATCAGAAATCAAGCTTTTAGCTCTGTTTGATAATATGCCGTTTGTGGTGATCGTCCACTTCGACTTCGTGGCCCTCCCTTGTGAGGGATATGAAGCAAATGAAAAACTTAAAAGTGATAGCACGCTGCGGAAGTAATGGGTGAGAATATGACGTGAAATAAGATCAAAAGAAATAGACCAATTACGCCGAAAGCTTGACGCACCTGAAACTATAATTTGAGCCTTCCGTCTTCTTGACAAGATCCAGTATCTGGGCGCCACTTGACCTTGCTTTAACGGACTCCTCGTCAATGCCACTAGAAAATCAGAACAGCAATTGAGCTCATGTTACAAACGAGGTAGCGGCAATTGATAAAACATCAAGAAAGGATAACTCAAACATTGAAAAGTCATGTGATGGGGCGAATGACCTCTTTTATAGATAATTATAAAACGAGCAATTCTTCTATGCCGTACAGGTATTTATTGGTGACACACTTTCTGTCGTTTCGGTCAGATACCGTCCTCAGAGGCTGAGTGTGTCACCGTGGCGGCAGCGTATGCTGCTTCAGAACGTGCTCGAGTGACTTGTCGAATGCCACGGTGACACACTCGGCCTCTGAAGACGGTGTTTAACCGAAACGTGAGGCAGTAATAGAATGTGTCACCAATAAAAAGCATGTACGGCATAGAAGAACTGTTAATAAACCAAATGTCCAGGTTACAAGAAAAGAGGACTCATAATATCATAATAAAATGTGATCTTTTCCTCGATGCGCGTAAACGTACCAAATTTTTGGTTAAGTCGGTTTTTGAGCACTATGAAGCATTCCCTTTGTGGTGAAACCGAACACAGCGACAAATGGGAGAAGTGACGCAGTCGACGAAGTTTAAGGCAACACCGAATCACGCCCAACAGCATCAAAAAACTCAGTCTTCCAGAGTTTATACTTGATCTCCACGACAGCGGTATTAAGCGGTTTCAAAAATTTGCGCCAATTTTTGTGGATTTACTAGTATACTATTTACATATATACAGTGACCGCCAAAAAGTTGCGGACAAGCCTCCCTTCCTTTTTCATCGCTCTTTTTCAGAAGGAAAACAAGGTTAAAAAAATGTGTAGTTGCATGAGGTGATAGAGCTCTTCAAGATATACAGTCCACACTTTGCGTTTTTCGAAAAACATGTATTCTAAAAAATTTTAAAATACTTTTTCTAAAAAAAGTCCGAAAATGGCCGCGTCACAATGTCGCGGACAATAATTGATCGAACGCAAAAATTTTCTTTTGAGTCCTATTCTGAAGCAGAAACACAAGTAATCCAAAGGGGTAAGCATACTACTATAGGCTCGTCAAGAACTACACACTGGTTATGGTTGCTTCCCAAAAAACACAAGCTTGAGTATTATTTTGCTTTTTTTTCAAGAATAACTTATAATTCTCCTTTTCAAACCAAATTCCTTCACATGGAAACCTATTCACGACATTCCAACAACGCTGTTCGGATAGAGTAGATGCTCTTTACCGTTCTCCATGCATCTGACGTGTGCTAATGAGTTTCTTTGCTGAAAATGGCTCTTAACAGTGCTTGCACATGACCCTACGTGCACCTCACCACTGATTTGTACCGTTTTGCAGGCTTGTAACTCGGCTTGTGGTCAATGTGTGAGCCTGCGGTTAGGCTCATTCGAAAGAACGAGACTTTCTCTACACGATGATATGCAAAAGAGATGGGTTTAAGAAACATCGGAGATTTGGCGGATGGGGTGGAAAAAAGCGGCCTCAGTGGTAGAATGAGGATATCCAGCTGAAGTTGAATAGAGCTTCTTTCGCTACCACTTCAAATCTGGAAGCTTAAAACTGTCAATGTTCTTGTAATAGATCCATTTTGAAGCTCTAGGACTGTTTTGGGGTTGATAAGAGCCCTCATTCCAACCACCACTGAGGCCGCTTTTTTCCACCCCATCCGCCAAATCTCCGATGTTTCTTAAACCCATCTCTTTTGCATATCGTCGTGTAGAGAAAGTCTCGTTCTTTCGAATGAGCCTAACTGCAGGCTCACACATTGACTACAAGCCGAGTTACAAGCCTGCAAACGGTACAAGTCAGTGGTGAGGTGCAAGTGGGGTCATGTGCAAGCACTGCCAAGAGCCATTTTCAGCAAAGAAACTCATCAGCACACGTCAGATGCATGGAGAATGGTAAAGAGCATCTACTTTATCCGAACAGCGTTGTTGGAATGTCGTGGATAGGTTTCCATCTGAAGGAATTTGGTTTAAAAAGGAGAATTATAAGTTATTTTTGAAAAAAAAAAGCAAAATAAAACTCAAGCTTGTGTTTTTCTGGGAAGAAGCCATAACCAGTGTGTAGTTCTTGACGAGCTCTTTATAGTAGTATGCTTATCCGTTTGGATTACTTGTGTTTCCGCTTCAGAATAGGACTCAAAAGAAAATTTTTGCGTTCGATAAATTATTGTCCGCGACATTGTGACGCGGCCACTTTCGGACTTTTTTAAGAAAAAGTTCTTTAGAATTTTTAAAATACATGTTTTTCGAAAAACGCAAAGTGTGGACTGCATATCTTGAAGAGCTCTATCACCTCATGCAACTACCACATTTTTTTATCCTTGTTTTCCTTCTGAAAAAGAGCGATGAAAAAGGAAGGGAGGCTTGTCCGCAACTTTTTGGCGGTCACTGTATATCAAAGTACACAAAAATTTAGGTGTGCAATTAGTTTTCTTTTCTTTTCAGCAGCGATATTTTCTCGAAGCTTTGAGGATAAGAAACTTAGAGAAGAGTAGCTCGCAAACATCACGATGCAGTTTATTCTTCTCTCATACCTTTTTTCTGATTAGTGGGGTTCCACAGATAAAATCACTATGAATCTCGATTCTACATGTATTCTACATGTAGTGCCTGCCCCAAGAACTTCAAGATATATAGGTACTTCGAGTGGTGCCAATACACCCGTAGAGCAGGCTAGATAACAACAGACGTTTGCAACCCTTGGTCTGATGATTTTTCAGCTTTTCGTGCATCAAATATCACACACTTCTCAAAAAAGGGCGTTCTTGGTAGACTACCACTCTCGAAAAAAAAAAATGGTAAATGGCTTGCGATGCTCCCATAAGTACGAAGATCAGTTTGAAAAAAAGCTGCGTCAAAAAGTGTTTAAGGCGCTTGCCTGCTCAATTTCTTATAATACGATAGGTGAAAAAGCGTTAAGAATTTTCGGAGTGATCTCACAAATTGAAGAAGAGAAATGAGAAAAATAGAGAAGTCGCCAATTTTTGTTCTTCAGTTCGGGTTGCAATCGGCACCCCAAGGTCCAGCTTTACAAAAAAAAAGAGAAAGAAGGAATTAAAGAAGAAAAGTGCAGAAGAAAATCAAGAAATAATTCTGCTATAGCAGGATTGCAAAAAAAAAACTTTTCAACATCAAGGTAGCGTTTTTGAAAATGACTGGAAGAGTCAAAGAAGAGTAATGGGGTGTAGAAAACAAAAAAAGGAGAGTAACCGCAACAGAAATCAATACAAAAAGGGAATAACTGCAACAGAAATCATCCGCCCTCTCTAAATAATTCGCACAGATGTAAACATACGATCTGCGTGAACCTACACAGATATTAGTGTGGCTCCCATAGCAGTGATCCCGTTCACCAGAGCAGAAACCTCAGATTTGCGACCGTCAAGACTGGCAATGCCATTGGTAAAAATCTGAGAAGAATCTGACAATAAGTCATAGACATGAGCAGATTGTGATAGGATCAGCACTAACGAGAATGTTCTTCGACTCCACAGCAGGATCACCATCAGTCTGCTGATGCAGGAAATCCGTAGCAACGATTAGAGCATCGACAGCTGAAAGCTAAAATCAGTGGCAAAGATGCTAATAATTTGAAAACTTACCATTGCCGGCTGCTTTAGGATTGCTAACCACTTCATGTTCAAGGAAACGAAGATGATCAAAGCTCAAAGGTGACAGTACTTCATTTTGCAGAAATACACCCTTCATGTCAAGCGGATTTTTCGTCTCTTTACAGCCGAAAAGGATAATCGTGATATGCTCCCTAGCGTGGGTAAATATCTGGAACAAAATTTTGATTCAGAGAAAAAATCAAATCGATCTTTCCGGAAAGTTTACGCTGAACTAGAAAAGAGAAAAAATCGTAGAAAGAATGAAGCGCCAAAGTAACACTTTAGAATGTTTACATCTTGCTGTTCCATTTGGATTTTCTCAAAAAGCGTTATTTTATAAGGAATATAAAAGAAAATGACAAATAGGCCCGAGATGTCCTGCAAAAAAGGTCAGGCACAAGAACTAAAGCAAGAAGGGTGCTCACATCTTGTTCAAGAAGTTAATGAAAGTAAATGTGAGTAAAGATCTGGATCGCCAAAACAAAAACTCGCCTTCCGCGAAAGAATCCAGTCTGCAGCTTCCTTTGCCATAGAAAAATAGCTTCTTCCATCACTAGTTTCCTGCATCGAACTGCCGCAGTCAATTACTAGGACGAGCGCTCCATATTTATCTTTTTTCGTCAATCTCTTCTTTTTCACAGGTTTCACATCCTTCTCCTCAAATTCCTCGAATTCATCGTCGGACATCCTGAAACGCCCACTCTAGATCTGTTCAAATTTACTTCACAAGTCTCTGGATTGGTAGTGAACGAAAAAACTCCACAATTGTTCTCTCAAGAGAAAAGGAAAGACTTTTGAAATTTGAAAATCGCGCAGTGCGCGCTGTCTTTAGGACACTTTTACCGAACAGAGCACCTTCCAGAATCTTGCGCAGATGACTCTACATTTCCGTCTCGATATCAGGCTACATGTGCTTCGTAGGCGTACAATGGAAAGACATAGCAGGGCAACCTGTAGCGTTCACTACAGGGATTGTAATCGAATTCTGCCATTTATCACATTTTGCAAAAGAAAATCTCGCAGCATAGACAGAACTAACCGCAAGTCTCGACTGTGGAAAAAAGGTATTCTTCCAAGTAGCTCATTTAAAAACGTCTTCCGCTTTGTTTATGTTGCGAAATGCAAGACAGTGATTTCGCGTAGTATATCGGAGGCAAAACGTTATCTTTGAATGAGTTTCTCTTTGCCAGAAATTATTTTTCGTAACGTGTATGCATGTGTGCAAGATGCACAACCCACATTAAAGGTGACGCCTATGGCTTAACGGTCCCGTGTTCGTGATCTGCTCTCGTCAGTCCTGTTTTCCTGAACTCTGTTGTCTTGGATACGGCGTCATGTTTTTCGGCATTCTTGATTGATAGTAACTATCCCATTGCAGTGCTATATGTCGTGTACAAGGACTGAAGCTGTCACTACAACTGAAACTGTTACGCAGGACCAAGTGAGTCTACACCTTGACCTTCGTCTAGCATGGTAATATAAATGTTCATTTTTATCTCGCTATCTTTTTTAGCTGAGATTACTAACTGCTTGCAATGATTTTATGTGCTTGACAACCTTGATAAGGACAAGAGTTTGTCTCACAGCTAGACCAGGATCTGAAATATCGAATCTGCCAGGCTTTTTTCAACTCACATGCTGATCAAGCCGTGCTCTCGTTCGGAGAGTTTTGTTTGCTAACAGCGGGTTGGCACCAAGGCTATGAGATTTGCGTGGGTTGACACCAGGATTTTTCGTGCTGCGCAAGGGTTTACGATGGTGCTTCTAATAATTAGAAGGTTTCTGTGTGACATAAGTAACTTATCCGAATCAGTGGCCTACAGTCAACGTATACGATCAGGTGCCCTCTGTTTCACTGGGAGTAGCGGGTAGGGTGAGGTCTGGGCAGTGCATCTCTCTTGCAAGCGTGCTCTCTAATCATTTCTTGGGCTTAATTAGCTATCGAAGCTCCACCCTCCATCCGCCATTTTCAATGAGAGCTCCGCCATACCATTGAACTGGTGTCTATGAGTTAGTAGACTAAGGCTTCAGGCAGAGTTTACGCGATTCGATCGTCGCGATTGATCGCGACAAGATAACTGCAACAATATCATTGCATGCCGATCTTCTTGATTTCGGTTGTGATAGTTTTCCACCAAGACTAAGCGTAACCAACTATCACAACCGAAATGCAAGCTGATCGGCTTGCAATGAACTCGCAACAGTTGTCTTGTAGCGATTGAATCGCGACGATCAAATCGCGTGAACTCTGTCCGAGGCCTAAGGGATCTGTACTTATTTTGACCCCACATTTTGACGGATTTTGTTCCGAAACTGATTAGTGAAGAAACTGTGTCACTGGCGATGTCTTTCTTTTGATCTTCGGTATTCATGTTGGCTGTCTCATAACTCCTTATGGAACATCTCAAATTTTGAAAATCAAACAATCTAGAGAACAGCTTACATCGATTTTTATTAGAACGATATTGTCGTATATGAAGTTAGGCAATTTATGTGATAAAAGAAATTGAAAGAAAAAAGGAGCTTGATGTTCAGCTCTTTTAGGCCGATCTTGTATTGCACCTACATCCGAACAATGAGCGACCGCACGTGAACTGGACCACCGATACAGTGGACAATGAGAATATGGGTAAAAAGAAGAGCAAATGTTGTTGTATATATAAGAAGAAGAAGACGTGGAATGATGGTAGCAGCAGTAGTGACGATTCGGTATGTGCAATTATTTAATGACTTTTCTTGGGTAACATTACGCTGCCTCTCTTTTATAACATTTTGATATTTCATGGTTCGGCTTGGGAGACTCTTTGTGACAAATACTTGTGTTTTCGCAGCAGTGTTGATGTCTTTTGTCTAAAGTAATGTAAAGAATTCACCTGGTAACGTGAATTGTTTGAGTTCCGGTTATGCAGACAGTCGTGAATGAGATTGTTGTATGAAAATCGTTTTTTTGTCATATTTTTAGCAAAAGCGTTTTTTCGGTGATGTAAATTACAAGACAAAATTTGGGATGGTGATGATTCGGGCATGATACTCTCACTCTTCTCTTCGTACCCATGGGTTGAGATATTCACAAATTATTGTCTATCTCTTCATGGTATCATAGCCTTTATGTTATTGCAATAAAGAACACTTGTATCAACTGAAACCACATTCTCGAATCGTTGTAATATTATTACTGACTTATGTTTTGCAACGCGCGCTGTATGTCGAGTTTTCAGGAATTGGGGAGATGTTATTATGCATCGTTGTCCAAATTGGGCTTCACTTCTTTTCGTATCTCGATTTTTTGAATTAGTTAGGATATGCCGGGAAGGCTTCATTTACGCAACTTGTATATGTTGTCACTTCCTCGTTTAAAGACCTTGCTTGCAGGACTGTGAGACCGGAAACTGTCGAGGGCATGTGGAGAAAAGGCACGAACATCACAGCGATCCAGCAGGCGGAGATGGAGGTGCTGAACCCTGCCAGTAAGCAAGAGCTTTCAATCACTCCGCTCACCAAACTAACCTATTTCATCGTGTTTATATGTGTATATTTATTGATATAGTCGAGAGGCACATTCCCTGTCACGGATTTTGGCGCAGCGTCGTGTTTTGTATTTCGATTGGAATATTAACACACATCGTCGTGTCCCTCACGCATAAAATTTCGCTGAAAAATCGATATTGCACGACAATTGGGTAAATAAGTCTATGTTTACAAGAAGTACTTTGTTTCACATTAAATGACCAATTTCTTGCCGTACGAGGCACTTCTGACTGCGCTTTCGCTCATCTAACAGCAATCTCGTTTTTGCTGGATTAAAAAGTCAATAAGGTACATAAGTGGATGAAATAACTTTCATCTGATTCTGGTTGCTTTCACAGTATACAAGTGTATATTGTGGATCCATTTTTCTAGTGCGGCAACTGATCTCTTGAAGAAAGTTATCTCGGTTTTCATAGGTATTTTCGTTTTATGAGCGGCTTTGAAACTTATCCAGAGGTCACATGTTTTTTATACGAAATAGTGCGAATAAAAGGCAGATAAAATTCACAGGTACTGAAAATCTACATGACAATTATCATTGACAACTTACAAGCTATATTGTCCAAAATATCATATTTAGAGATCACTTGAAAGGCATTTTGAGGGCTAATATTAGATGCTCCGCCACTGCGAATGCAACTTTGTCCTTGGGATACAGTAGTTCTCAACAAAACGCTTTATTGTCAACGGTGTTTCTCGCCAACATATAATAGTTGGACAGTAGTTGGTTCTCTGGCTCCGACGGAATGTCGAGGGATTTGGAGTAACAACAACAAAGCAAATACACAAATAAGTAGATCAAAGCTAACATAGTGAACTGAAGAGAAAGACTAGTTTTAGTAGTTCAAGCGATATAGTTTCCTTTTCTTTGATGAGGGCTGAGATCCTTGTACACGTGATGGGCACATTACCGAATGATGGGGCAGATAACAAATGTCACATTTTGCTCCACAGTCTTCGGAATGACCGGTCTTCAGGCAGCAGGCACACAAACCCATCTTCACTACTTGAACGGCTCGGGAAATAGAGTCAGGATAGCGATTGCCCCCCACAATGGTCGGTCGCCTCATCGTGGCGTGGGGGTGACACTGGGTGTCGAACTGCGATGCACAGCCGAGTGTATACTCTGGTAGGGCCTCCCAAGCTGTGAAGGAGTTCGACGTTTCCGGTTTCGGCCGGATGCCTAGCTAAGAACTGGCCGCGCCAGATTCTCCGCCGTCTGGCTTCTTCTGGTCGCTAGGCGGTCCCTCCCCGCTCCAAGCCCGGGGTCAGCGATCACCCCGTGGAAATCAAGAGTAGGCCTAGTAAGCCACCTCTTGTAGGGGAACAAATTTTATTACTCAGACAGCAAGAAGATTTAGAAAAAACCCTGTACATCGGATCCCGCCTACGGCGCCGGGTGGTAGCAAGAACGATGTCAGGGTACTCAGGGCGCCTTTCGGATTGGACAAAAACGACACGTCTGCCCGGACGACACGCCATGGAGACTGCCTCATGCTCTGCACTTACAACGCCAGGACAGTCTCCACAAACGCCGACCTCCACGCTCTTCTCGACGCTGCAGAGCACATCAACTACCACATCATTGCTCTGCAGGAAACGAAGTCCAGGAAGAAGGACGTGCGACAGATGAGTGATGGGACCCTCATCATTCGTGGTGAAAAGGTTCCATCACGAAACGTGGGAGGCGTCGGCTTTGTTGTCCACCCATCTATCGTCCATCTTGTCGATTCGCACGAGATCCTATCACCTCGACTAGGCATCCTACGACTACGACCTCCACATCAGAAGACCATCAGCATCATCAACTGCTATTCTCCAACATCAGCAGCTGACGAATCAGAACTAGATGCTTTCTACGAAGATGTGGAGGAGGTCGTCCGCAACGAGAAGTCCTTTTACAAGTTTGTTGTGGGCGACCTCAACGCGAAAATCGGGATGCCACTGGAAAGGGAATATAGGATCGGGAAGTTTGGATATGGGCTCCGGAACGAAAACGGCAACCGTCTTGTTGGGCTTCTCTCCGCCGCACGACTTTTCCATGGAAATTCCATCTTTATGAAGAAGGAACATCGCCGGTGGACATGGGAATCGCCCAACGGAACGACCCACGCGGAGATCGACCACATTCTCACCAACCGAAGGTGGAGCTTACTCGATGTCTCTGTAGTTCCATCCTTCTGTAGTGGCTCCGATCACCGCCTCCTTCGAGCGAAGATACGACTCAGCCGAAGGCTGGAAAAGAAAGTCTGTCATAGTGCCGCGAGAAGGAAGGAAGTCGTTTATGACGGTAACAGGCTGGAAGAGCTCATATCAAGTTGTGACTGGCCCATCGAGGAGGACCCAACGTACGACTACGACCGGCTTCTGAAAGGATTGCGAGCCTGCGGAGAATGCGCCTCAGTGATTTCTGAGAAGAACTTGGACCGCATCTCGAAGACCACCAAGGAATTGCTCGAAAGAAGAAGATCATTGAGGCAGGATCCGAATGCAACTCATCTCGAGCGACTGATTGCCAACACCAGTTGCAGAACAGCATTGCAAGAGGATCTCAGGAAGTACAGGCAAGCCAAGATACTGGAAGCAGCAGAAAGAAGACGAAGTCTCAAGAAGTGCCGAAGGGACCTCTGCGAATATCACGTACCGCTGGCTGCACTACTGAACGAAGACGGGACTCCGACTTCTTCCCGATACAAGATGGAATCTATCGCGAAGAACTTCTATACCAACCTCTTCCGCTCATCAACACCCGTGCAGATGCCCGTTGTTCCCACTGGAGAAGTACCACCACGAATTCTACCTGCTGAAGTGCGTATCGCGATACAGACCATGAAGACGTCCACGGCTCCAGGACCAGATCATCTTTCCGTCGAACTTCTGCGAGCCGGAGGACACCGTCTACACGAGATTCTAGCGTCGCATTTAACATCTTACCTTCAGAAGGAGAAGATTCCCGACCAGTGGAGAACGTCAAGAACCGTCCTTCTCTTCAAGAAGGGTGAACGGGAGGATCTTCGGAACTATCGTCCAATATGCTTGCTGAGTGTGCTGTACAAGCTTTTCACGAAGATTATCCTCGCTCGCATATCAAGGACACTGGATGAAGCCCAACCCCAAGAACAAGCTGGATTTCGCAAAGGATTCAGCTGCATGGACCACATCCAGACCGTTTCGAGGGTCATAGAAGTCTGCCGGGAGTACCGACTGCCTCTCGTCCTAACCTTTGTCGACTACGAGAAAGCCTTCGACAGCGTCGAAACCAACGCCATCCTGTCTGCGCTAGTCGATCAGGGAGTGGACCCAGCTTACGTGAGGACGTTGGCCGACTGCTACAAGGACTGTACAACGACGATGCAGCTATTCCATCGCCCCCTGACCATACCAATCGGGAAGGGGGTCCGACAAGGCGACACAATCTCGCCGAAGCTGTTCACCGCGGCCTTGCAGTGGGTGATGAAGTCACTGGACTGGGACGAGAGAGGCATACGAGTTGATGGGAGATTCCTATCCAACCTTCGTTTTGCGGACGACATCGTTCTCTTCTCGAGCAGTATCACCGAAGCAGAGACGATGCTGAAGGAACTAAACGAAGTAGGGAAGAAGATCGGACTGCGAATAAATCGGAAGAAGACTCAGTTCATGAAGAACGCCCTTTGCGAAGATGCAGAAATGGAATTGGAAGGCACCCCGATTATGGAGACGTCTTCCTACGTGTATCTCGGACGTTCGATGAACATGGAGAACGACTTGAGGGAAGAACTTAACAGGAGAAGAAGAGCAGCCTGGGCCGCCTTCGGGCCCCTGAAGGAAGCCACCGACCAACTGACGGACCCGGAGCTTCGTGCCCACCTGTTCGACTCAACCGTTCTCCCGGCGCTCTGTTACGCAGCTGAGACTTGGGCCGACACTGTAGCCACGTCGAAAGCTTTACGGACCACCCACAGAGCGCTCGAGCGCAGTCTTCTGAAGATGACCCGACGCAAGCAACATCTAGTCGGACTTCGCAGCACGGATATGAGAAGAATGTCCCGTCTTCGTGACCCAGCGGAATACGTCGCGAAAGCCAAACACCGATGGGCCGGTCACATAATGAGAAGAACAGACGACAGATGGACACTAAGAACATCGGAGTGGATTCCTCGCGAAGCCAAACGTCCCCGAGGAAGACCTCCAACGAGATGGGCAGACGTGTTCGTGGAACGGATGGACCAGCTGAGAAATCAGCTGGATACGATTTTTGCACCTGGAACTCGTGGACGCAGCCACCGACGTCAGCCAAGAAGATCGTGGATGTCAGAAGCGAGGGACAGGGAAAAATGGAAACTTCTGAGCTGGGGCCCGCACGTCACGTGAAGCCGGGCCATCTAAGTATCTAAGTAAGTAAGTAAGTATAGCGATTGCAGCGAGCAGACAGGTGGCCGTCAGAATTCTCCTGTGATGGACAGAAGATGCACAGGCGGCTGGAAGCAGTTATTTCTGCTATTGAATTGAGTGTACGCTCCATAGCATCTAGTCGAGTAGATGTAGAGTTGAATATAGCGTCTACTGATCTTGTCAGCCTTTCGGCTTTGACGTCGATGGTCCTCATTAAGAACTTGAGGCAGTGTGCTTCAAGACTTAGCTGTCCAGGAGGTAGTCGGACTCTGCCACAGTGGCATAGCCAAGTGGGAATCTCAGGCTTCTTGATAGAAGTTTCCGGCATGTCTCAAAGGTTCGAATATATCTTCAGAATGTAGTTGAACGTAGTTTGCAGCTGCTTTCGCGGAATAAGTTGGCGCAGTAGTTCGGCTGATGCACCAAAATGTGTCACTATTGGGGCAACTTTTGTGGGAGCTCACAACACGTCGCTAGGATAGGCAAATGCTGACTGAGAATGCCACAACTCTGCTGCTTTTGTTGGCCCATCCGCCCTCTTTACTGCGATTGATTTATGGATAAGGGTTGTTTGGCACCATGCAGCAGTTGGCCGACCAGTTGCATCTACATATTGAGCCATAAAACATCATCCTGACCAGATGTCATAAGTCTTACACAAACAGATTCTCACATCTTCTTATTGTATACGCATCCAACTCTTTGTTATGAACTTAGCATTGACGAAGCAGAGAAGGAGAGG